CTTATTCAGATGCACGAGAGACAGGAGCGTTCCTTTTACTGATGTTTAATGCGGTCTTGCATCTTCTTTATCTTTACACCACATGAACACCGTAGAACTAATGAAAAAGCATAAATCATGTACAAATTAACAAGTTATTTGCCTTAAGTTTGCTAACATACAGAGTTTATAAATAAAGAATAAACATACCACTTTGGCCTGCTAGTAGACAAACCGGTAGACTTGAAAACACTTAACCTTCTTCTCAAATGTTCTTAACTCATTCACTGCCATTGATGACTAAAGTCGTCATTTTAGATCCAACCGTTCACTGCCAATGACGACTAAAGTCGTCATTTGCATTTTTTTTTACTGTTTGAGCATCAGAACGAGCCCCCGCGCTGAGAACAAACATCTCAGCCCTGAAGTCGATCTTCATCCGCATACGTCACAGATCACATGATCAGGAAGCAACACATCCATGTGTTTGGAGATCGTTTTGGGCCGTTCCTGTAAAAAAAAGTGGGGCGCGAACCGGAAAAGCGTCTGCCGATCACAATTCGACAATGGATTATGAAAGAACCGATAACGCTCGAAACACGCGGCTTCTTCCTGATGTAAGAGGTGAGTCTCCTCTTTGTTTTGGTTGTTTTGGCATCGACATCATGCTAGCGCGCAACGTTCTGTTACTCTTAAAAAAACAGTAAAAATGGTGAGAAACGCTGGCAGCGAAGGCCGTTAGTGATCAGGAAACAGCTGGCAGTGAATGAGTTAATTGGCACAAATTGTCCGTGCGCATCAATAAAATCTCCGAAGCTATGAGAGACAGGAAGTGACATCACAGCGCTCTTAAACACACCTTATCAAAGTAAACCAATACAAAACTACTCAAATATCAAAAATTATTCATTCTGTGCACCTGTAAATGCTACAAAATGTATTGAAAACATGAAAAATAATACTTTAAATAAACATGTTAAATAAACTTTCTAGGGCATTAACAAAATCACAGTGCCATCTTGTGGTGAAACTTTGAACAAAAAAGTTGCTTAAACTGCATTTACAGATAGTGTAGTTTAGTTAGTGTTTGGCTGTTAGTGTTATTAGGAAAGTAGTTCGGGTTTAGTGTTCCATATCGTGTTAGTATGGTGAGAAGTGGGTTGCGGTGGCTCTGTGGGGTTGCACTCCTTTGCGCTGGACTTAGAAATTAGGCACCAGTGATTGCGCGCAATCGGTATCTGGAAAACAGTCAACTCCCGCCTGGTGCTGTAGTTTGCAACCAGCATTTTACCCCCACCATGGCGGGCTCCAGTCTGAGGTGAGTAAGCTAAATAAAAGTTTTAACATCTTCTTAAGACAATTCCCTACCTAAATGCAAAGTTTGAGATGTGGTTCACTTAATTTAGCTAATATCAGTCTGCACTGCCTTCGGGTTGACTTGTCAAGTTCACAAAATGTGGAACGGGATGTAAGGTTAGAATCAGCGGCGAATCGGAACATATCTCGAAGCCCGACATAACGGTCCACATGACTATTACTGTCAGGCTCGGAGAAAATTTGGGTTGTTTTTGTGTCAGTCGGTAATTCTGTAACAGTGGCTCTAACTAACACAGCACTAGTTGACAGACAGCATTACAGCGTGAAATCCAGCTTTACACCACAGCGTGACCCGGTTCTGTGAGGAATTCTGTTCAGGAGGTCGCATTTCAGGCTCTCTTCACATCATATGTGACTGACTTTTACGTTATAATAACGATCACACACTAGGAATGTTATAAAGCACCTATATAGGAAAGTTTATTTTATATATTATCTGACTTAATAAAATCCAACAACAATATGCTTCTATTTTTTTTCAGGCTAAATCTACCCAAGACACTGGCTGTCAGACTGATTTAGTAGTCTGCAAGAATGCACTTGTCCAGGCTGACGTGAAGCCTTACCGGCGTAGCAAAGGTGAATTATTTTTCATAATCTTCTATGTAAACATTTTATTATCACCTTCTAGTTTTAATTTGTTTTACAGATTATTGTTACACATGATTTTATGCTCTTTTAAACATTTATAAATGTGCTGTTTCTTTGTTTTTACATAGCCACCCAGTTTAGAGCTCTCAGAGCTCACAGCCTCATTGTGTCTGGTGACACAGGGACCATGATGGATATTCATCTTCCAGAAAGTCCCAGAGCAGCGTGCACACCCCTGAAAAGACCAAGATGTGAGGTGTCTGCTGTTGATTCCAGCTTCCACCTCAGTGACAGTGCAAGCTCAGTGAACTGTTCAAGGTAGAAAAATTAAAACATTTCAGAATTTTTAAGATATTAACAATTAAATAAGTATGTGATTACATCATGACATCATCAAGGAGGCTACTGATTCTGCTCGTGACACTTGGTGGTGACGTGTGAGCTGATTCACCTGGTAAATAACTTTTACATTAAATATTTTGTTCGTTGCTATAAAAAGTAAATTAACTAATAACCTGCATTATTGCAGGGCACTCAGCAAAATATGGACTCTACACCATGAGGCAGGCACACGTTAATACTGTATAAGAGCACATAAGGTGATTAACACCACATATTTTTGTTATTACTGTACACTGTCCTGGATTTTTTCTCTTTCTGCATCTCATCATTAGCCTGGCTGATCACCTGATAACTCCTGTCATCTGCAGAGGTGGAAAGAGTACTAAAATGTTGTACTTAAGTACAAGTAAAATTACCTGCCTCAAAATGTACTCAAGTAAAAGTAAAAAGTAGCTTATTTCAAATGTAGTCAGAGTAAAAGTTACTTTTTTGACTGTGCAAGGACGGGCTCTTCTGAATAGTTAAAAAAAGACAATTTTTTTTATTATTAAATGAACAAATATGCATATTGAAGTACAAAGGCAGTTACACTGCAAACTAGTAACATAAATTAGGTTATAGTCACAAGCCCATGACTTTTCCCTGAATGACACCATCCCGAATAGCTCTGAAGAGTGGCAGACACGTCTTGGAGACAGTCTCCAGTCTGCTGAGTTTTTCTTAAAGCTGGAAGATCACTTGAGGGGCGGAACTAGGAAGCTCAAAAATGACCAATCAGAAAAAAGAAGGAAATCCCGACTGTACCACACGACATGGTAATTTCTAGTTGTAGTAAAAAATAAAAAAATAAAAAAGCGTCTGGCAATGGCGCAAACATCTTTTATTTTTTAGAAGAAATGCTTTTAGTGCTTCTACTTGTGGTTTTAAAGACATCTGTGTCATTTAGAACAGAGGAAAGAGCCGCAGCGAACTCCGCCGCTGTCTTCGTTGTTTATGAGAAATTGAGCATCGCTGTGTAGGACGTGAATTAAACAGGAGGAGTCTGGCAGGCCAGGCTATCTTTCTCGTATCATTAGCGCCTATTTTCTTCTCCTACCCATCATTCATTGCACTGTAAGGTCACTGAACACATGCTTCACACTAAAGCCTGGTTTATGCTTCTCCGTCAGCTCTGCAAGGGACAGACACACACGGATTGACGGAAGCATTTTGCTCTTTTACTTCTCCGTCTCCTGTAGAGTGTTGCAAAGCAATTGCCCGGCAGGACAACAGAGGGCGTAGCGCTGTTCTGTGGTATCCTGTCATGTATCAGTCCAAGATCGTGTGTTTATATTGTGTTTTTTGTGTATATAAGAGACTTTTAACACGGACATATTTGTCTCTCATTCTCCCACCGCTTCATGCGCTCCCCACCTCTAAACCCACGTTTCCTGTCATTTCCGTCCACAAATAAAACGCTTGCTGCACATCTTTTCACTCCTCCAGTCACGGGAGGATGAAGCGTTCATATTTTTAGTTTTTTCACAAGGTATTCTTCAAGCTTCTCCGTGTCTGCCGCTAGTTATCCTCGGCTCTCTTTGCAATGGCGGCGCTGTAAACAACAATGGCGTCCTGACCAGTCACGAGCTTGCGTAATCCGTCTCGTTCGACGGATGTTTAAAAAAGTGGGCTCGACTCCGTACGTACTTGCGTGCCTGCCGGAGCCCTACGCAAGGACGGATAATGGCGTTGCGTGTCTCCGCACTGACGCAGACGGAGAAGCATAAATCAGGCTTAAGAAGTTCAACTCACCTGTTGACCGCTCAGACATCCCTTCATTCCTTCTCACAAGCTTTGATCTTCTTAGGTGATCCTCCAGTCATCCAAGTAGTCAGTTAGTGTTTCTTATCCTTTCCTTCGTACCCCGTAACACTCTCGTAACTTAAGCACTCAGTTCTTCTGGTGCGCGCCTTCAGCGTCCGCAGCACTTCCGTGTTTGGGTCTTACCAGTATAGACATATATACATAGACACTTCATTAAGCGCTGGATCACTCTCGAGCGCGTTAAGACGCTTCTACATATGTATGCGTTTATACTCTCGTCTCTCTTCTCTGTGGTTATGTCTGAATCCAGTGCGAACCGTGCCGACACAGTATTTCGCAATGTTGGTAACGGATAAGATAAAAAATGTAGCGAAATACAATACTTACAAAAAACAATACTTAAGTAAAAGTAAAATTACAGATTTTAAAAACTACTTAAAAAGTATAAATGCGCAAAAAATCTACTCAATTACAGTAACGCAAGTAAATGTAATTCGTTACTTTCCACCTCTGGTCATCTGGTTATGACAGCATGAGGATGTCCTCACACACCTGTAACCTATCAGCTCATCTGGCAGAATAGAGAAGGGACAACACCACATCTCCTATTCCTGGAAAGCCTTCAGCCATCCTTCGATGACTGAGAACCTCCATCAGCTCTGTCTCCTGTCTGCCTACAATTATAATAAATATTGTGTTTGACAAGTTTTTTGTGCTGCCAAATATCTCATTTTGATTCCAGTTTTGATATTTTAATGGATATTTATAAATTACATTAATTGAATTATCACATTGTTACATGTTTAACTAGCTCTATTGTGATGAATTAAACTAGCACCTCACTGTTAAACATGCTTGAAATTAAAACGAGCTTTTAAGTATTTATGGACATGAACAAAAACAGAAAATATATAAAGTGAGATTTATTTAATTAATATAACAAATAAGGGGGGAAGAGTCATTGAAAGGCACATTCTTCTGGAAGCTCCTGATCCTGACGACACCAGCAGAGGAGACCAGCTGCAGACACCAGAGGATCACCTACAACCAAGAGAGCAGCTGGTATCAGTAAATAAAGAAATCAGGGCATTTTTAGTGGGCTGAACACATTACAGAATAATTTTCTCATGGGGTATTTTCATAACTTTCTGCAGCAGACTGTAACTTGAGCCCAGAGCTCCTGGAGAGCTGCTATCCAGCACATTTCAGTGGTTTTCCTGCTTTAACAGGTTAGATTAGCTGTTAAGCAGCTCAGCTCACACCAGGTGTGTTGAAGCAGATAAATCTCTAAAACATGCTGAATACTAGCTCTCTAGGGCCATGGAGCCAAACCCTGCAGCTAATATAATGCAATGGCTAACGGCTACTTACCATTCAGAGCTGGTTCTGTTGGGTCGGTTCTGGTAGTTTCAGGCAACTCACAAGCTCAAAACAATAAGGCTCAGGTCCGCCTGTCTCCTCCAAATAGACTTGGTCCCTTTCTTCTCGAGTGTCTGGGTAAGGAGGGGGAGAAACTTCCTCCACTTCTAATAACTGCTCAGAGTGAAGGGAGCTAGCATCATCTCGTTACCCATCGTCTTCGTCACTGCCACGGCTCTGCCCTCTCGGTCCGCCAGGCAATAGGGCTGAGCCATATCATACCTTTCACGGTAATACCGGTACAATGGTGGGCAATGATAAGAAAATGAAATATCGCGATAGGATAGAATGGGTAAAACGCGCTTGCGCAGTGCCTTTGTTTTCATACGCTCATACGCACATGGCGGAAAAAGCATGGCGACGACGGAGGAGAAGGGCGAAAGCGGCTCGTTGAATGAAACAGAATTTGTTTTTTTAAAAAGGTGCTACCTCAGTGGTGTGGAACTGGTTTGATTTCCGCCTGTCAGAGACCCAACAAAGCACAATTTTTTGTAGAACATGCAAGCGGGCTGTCGTGGCGAAGGGAGGAAACACCACAAACTTATTTCATCATTTGAAGCAGAAGCACTTTTTGGAGTACAACAAAGCTGTTAAAGCACGCGAAGATGCGTCCCCTTCAACAAGTGTGGTGGTAAACCAAAGAAGCTGGCTCAACAAACAATCGGCACAGCTATAAATAGCTGCACCCCGTATGACAAAAGTAGCAAACGTTGGGAAGAACTAACTAATGCAGTAACGCATTGTTTAGCCAGGGATATGATTCCCATTCAGTGTGGAAAAGGAAGGTTTCACAAAGATGCTTAAAACGTTTGATTCACGCTACAAGCTGCCCACCAAGAAATACTTCTCTAAAGTCGCTTTGCCTGCTTTATATGAAGAGGTTCGTACTGAGGTGGCAAATGCATTATCGTCTGTGGAGTTTTTTGCGTCCACCACGGACATGTGGTCAAGCCGAACATCAGACCCCTACATGAGCCTCACAATACACTACGTGGACAAAGACTGGAAGCTAAAAAACAAGTGCCTTGAAACAAGTTTTTTCCCCGAGGACCATACCGGGGAAAATGTAGCCAAAGGCCTAAAAGAGTTCCTCAGCTCATGGAATCTTCAGGAGGAAAAACAGGTGTGTGTGACGACAGACAGCGGGGCCAACGTTGTGAAGGCTGTCGCACTCAACAACTGGACCAGACTTTCATGCTTCGGACATCGCCTGCACATTGCCATAGGTAAATTGCTTAGAATGTCAGATTAAGCATTTCTTGCATTAGTTTAAATGATAGTAATGTTTATATTATTAATCTTTAGATGTCTTTAAAAATGAACAGGAAGGCTGGATGTGCGCATTTATGCTGTAAGACATTTTAAGGTGTGTGTGTGTGTGTGTGTGTGTGTGTGTGTGTGTGTGTGTGTGTGTTATACATAAAACTTAAATGTCACACATTCCACACTGCATTAATATTGGTGTTGAGCAATTAACCGTTTTCCTTTAAATTTGTCTTTTTTAGAAAGAAGTGTGAAGGACCAAAGGATTGATTGAGCAGTTGGAGTGGGAAAGAAGATTGCTGGTGCCTTTGGTCACAGCTGGAAGCACCAGCGTGCTCTGCAGGCTGCCCAAAAAGAACTGGGCCTACCAGAACACAAACACATAACTGAATGTTGCACTCGTTGGGGCTCAAAGCAGAGAATGATCCAGCGACTGCTGGAACAAGAAAAGGCTATAACACAGGTTTTAGCTGCTGATAAAACCACAAGGCACCTCATGTTGACATGGCAAGACATTCAGGTGCTTGACTCAGTCAGCGCTGCATTGAGTCCACTTCTAGAGTTTACAGATGCTTTTTCTGCTGAAGAGTATGTGACAGGGTATCTGCAGGTTTAAGGGAGCCAAATTTAAGACTTTTTAAGACCTTTTTTACCTTTTTTAAGGCCAATTTGACCAAATTTAAGCTATTTTTTTAAATTAAATTTAAACTATAATTTCCAGCTATTGCGAATGTGGGATTAGCCATCCAGTTACCATAAAAGTTGCACGTCCCCATGGTGCAATCTCCCACTAGCTTAACCAGCTAATGTGCTCATCTAAAAAAGCCCCCTTTCACAACTAACTGAATGTGTACGGTTCCGCTTACGCCAGCGTCATACACAAAAAATGCTGAACACAAACTAGAAATTCATGAAAATTAAAATAAAATAATCTTATTTATTGGGTCTTTGGTAATTTAAGACCTTTGGAAACTGTATTTAAGGATTATTTGTCATTTTTAAGGCCTTAAATTTGGAAAAGCAAATTTAAGACTTTTTAAGACTTTTTAAGGACCCGCGGATACCCTGATGTGACCATTTCATGTGTTAAGCCTGTTCTTCAGATGTTTAACAATGACCTGTTAAAAGTAAAAGAGAGTGACACACCACTGACCAAAGACATCAAAACAGCAATACTTGACTACATGAACAAAAGCTACAAAGACAGCGTCACAGAGAGGCTTATCAACATGGCTTCTCTACTTGATCCACGTTTTCGCACAGAATATTTCAGCGAGAGTGAGAGCGAAGCCATCAAAGTTCAGGTCATGAGTGAACTAGAGCATCTTGTGTCACACCAGGGTAGCACAGCCACAGGTGTTTCAGAAACACTTCCCACATCTGCTGGAGACCAAACAAGTCAGGGAGCTGCTAAAAAGCCAAAAAAAAAAAAGAGTCTCAGGAGCTTTTTGAAGGGACCTGTTAGTGGCAAGACAGATGTAACTGCAGAAAGGTTGCTATCTGAACTGAGCAGTTATGTGAATAGTCCACCAGCAGACAGTGAGTGTGATCCTCTTTTGTGGTAGAAGGTTCACACGGTAAACTTTCCCAACATCAGCAGATTAGCTAGGAAGTACCTCTGCATTCCAGCAACTAGCTCTGCATCTGAAAGGTTGTTCAGTACAGGTGGAAACGTTGTAACTTGTCTACGATCCTCCCTTAAGCCCACATCTGTGAACATGTTGGTGTTTCTGACAAAAAATCTTAAAACTTGAAAAGGGCACTTTATCCATGTTGTTTTTTTATGTTTTTTTTTTACTCAAGAGTTTGAGTTTTATGTTGCAAAGCAACACTTTAAGTTATGAGATATTACCAATGGTTATGCTCAGGAGGATATTCAGCCCATTTGCACAAACATTTTAATGTAGTTTTGATGCACATAAAAATTGCTGCTTAAATGAAAATATATTGGTGGGTTCTTTGCACTAATAAAGTTGTTAATTTGTAAAGTACTTTGTCTCGCATCAGTCATATCATCAGTTATATCGTTATCGCAAATTTTCATATATATATCGTGATAAATATTTTTGGCCATATTGCCCTGCCCTACCAGGCAATGCCTACTAATGTTGCAGTTTTTAAAATTGATACGTGGGTGGAGAAGGACTCTGAGGCACACTTGACCCGCTCTTTAAAAATGCTCTCCAGCAGTTAAGCATAGCTAACATCTGAAATCAGCTTAATTTGACAATCGGGACTTAGCATTGGGTATTGTTGAGGGAGGGAATGTGGATTCTATTGTTTAGATGAGCCTTATCCCATTATGTATGTGGGTAGTTTGTATATTTCGAGTACGTTTTTTGGTACGATTATGACACCGGAAAAGCGCGTTAGGACCCGGTACCGGGTCCGTCGGGTTACACAGGCTGAATTTTATCAATTTTATTGATTCGTTGTTGCACCCTACAACAGTGGGTATTGTACTGACCTCTAACTTTTACACTTTATACACATTTTTATTGCTACTATAATCTGTTGAAATAATTTGAACAAAGAAACATCAAGGAGATTTTTTGCAAAATGCAAACTATTTTCTACCACGAGGTTTAGGCAGTCACTCTGTTCAGGAAAATATAGACAGAATTGATCAGAAAATTATTTGGATCATTTAATTATTAGCAATTATCATGAAAGACCAGAAAACACAATTAGTGTTATGTGTTCACTGAGACGTGTTGGATATGTGAATGAATATTCAGAAGAGAGCTGAAGGGGCTGCAGGTGGCGAGATGCAACAATATCCCAGTTGGACTACTTTAAAACGCTGTTAAGAGCAAAGAGTAAGTCTGTCTTGTGCTTTAGTTCAGCACAAATGTTACAATGATAAAAAAAAAATCATACATTGTGTTAGAACTGTAGCGTGTTTAAAGCTCCTGGTGCCCAAATCAATAAAGCATGTGTTGTTGCTGTGCCGTAGAGATCAGAGATGATCTCTTATGGGTCATAAAAAAAATTCTGTCAGACTCTGAGAATCAGCAGCTTCTGGTTTTCATTCTTTTGTGGCAACATGTTGGTAAGTTTAGAGAAGCACATCTATCAGCATGTCCGACGAGTCTACATTCTTCATTGGACAATATTAAAGTATGTCTGTAATGTTCTACGTGTTTTCAGAAAGAATGCAACACTGACAAATTACATGAAAGTGCACATAATCAATTGAGCCATCTTGCCAAGATAAATCCTAATATTTGATGAGTTAACTGATGTGCATTTTATCTCATTGTTTACTCATTTATGCTGAGCCTGACCTAATGCACTTCCTGTCAGTTTCCTGTTGCCGGTCTGAATGCCGTCTGAGTGATGGTGCATTTTTTTCTTGTGAGTTCAGATTACTTGGAATGTAGAAAGCTAACCGATACTATCTCACATCAGCAAGCAGGAAGAGACCAAAGAAAAAATATTTTATCTTCACCAACCACGTCTACGACCAAAGGACTGACAGGACACCTATCCTGTCTCAGAGCCTAAGAGAAGAGGTTGAGCAGAGATCTAGGTCTTATAGAAAAATGTAAGACCAGGATGTAAGGGCCTCCTTCCAGTTGTGCTGTTTGGAGAATATGTAGTGAAGATGAGTGGTTGTTATAGGAAACCAGAGAAATGCATTTTAAAATATTTTTCCCTACCACAGTTTTAAAATCCTAAAGAAACAAGATTAGCTAAAAGGAAGAAAACACTTTCTACAAGATTAAAATAGTCAGTTTGTACATTTTCAGAACGAATATGCAAAGTGATAAGAAAACAAGGCTAGAATGAGAAGTACCTCACTTCAATGGGAAGTTTAGGTCATTAGCACATTATGGACAGTACATGTGTCCTGAGAAGTAGAGCTGTGGCGACGCATCGATGACGTAGACGGCTCGATTCTAAAAATTCGTCGACATCAGTTCCGGTAGTCGACGCACCACGCCCACTTGTTGCATCCCCAGGAGTTTGTAAATGGAGGAGGAATCTGCCTGTTTTTCCTCTAGTTCGCCCTCTTCTCCGCCTTCACTAACATCTCCGCCAAATACCAAAGACCTGGAACAATGTTCGTCCGCTACGAGATTCCTTTCCTGTTTTGCCCGCCCTCGTCTCCCGGCAACGGACAACAACTTCCGGGGTCAGATGTGCTGCTTCATCTCTATCGCAGATGTAGAAAATCACCGGGAGCATTTCTACCTTCATAAAGGAGCTTCTCTCAGACATTAGGAGAGCTGTTTTGGTGGTAGCAGTCTCTCCTCCGTGCTGGTCAGTTTGCTGGGTATTTTTGGTTTATTTAAACTTGGTAACTTGAACTTAACGTTGGTAAAGCTACTGTTAGCATTTTCGCTAACAGCTTCTTGTGTTTGGATAAGCTGTTATGTTTTGGTTTAGAGTTCATCGTCTTTGTGGTGCAGATCTCCCTTTTATTACATTTAGAGTGTTGTGGGTTTTCGGTTTAGTTTAAAATATCACCTTAAGTTTGGTTTAACCACCCAGTTTAGAATTTGGACCTTTGGAGATCCTTATTTTGGTCCAGAACCCAGTAATCTTTGCCCAGTGGGACATCCCAGGTTATTTGTACTTGTTTTTATTTCCCACAGGCAGAATTAGTTGTATTATTCCCAACCTGTGGATGGAAAGATTTAGGTTTTTTTTTTTGTAAATAAACCTGATCATCACTTAAACTTTTAAATCCAGTTATTGCCCCTTCCTTTTTGCACACAAGCCAAACTCCCCAGGAAAGGTCGTAACACCACTCGCCTCACGCACATAAGTGACCAAATCAAAGCAGCATGGAGACACTCCGTCTCCAACCACCTCTCAGGCAGCAGCCTGCACTCCCAAGTTCTATATGTCACCAGAACATAACCAACCACAACACAATAAAAGCAGTGTTATACAAAATGGAAGGCCTGTAGTGTTTATTCTCTTACAGTAGCAACTTATCAATTTTTTGGAGGAATTTATTTGAGATTTTTTGGTTTTTATTAGTTGTGCAATAGAAAAATAATCGCTAGATTAATCATCTAAATAGTCATTAGAATAGTCGACTATTCGATAAAATAATAGTCAGAATAATCGTTTTAAAAATAATCGTTTACCTCCAGCCCTACTGAGAAGACCAACAATCAGACACGAGATCAAACTCAGTCCTTGCTAAAAAACCAGATAATTTTTGTTAAGTCATCTGGCTGAAACAGGAAAAGGTGTCACTGTCACAACAACGCCCTATAATTAGGCAACATTGGATTGATGTTTAATGGACTTCTTGAACAGGATTTGTGGCCTGCCACAGATTATTGTGAAAACTAACATCAGCAATGATTTTCATAAATATGAACAACACTTTGAATGCATTTATCATTCCAGCAAATGGTCTTCAACTTTTATGTGCTCAGGTAAAAAAGAATGCCATGATAGAAATTCCTCTGCACTATAAAAACATTTATCTGATGGTTCATCTGTGACTGAGGGAAATTGTTCTCAGCTTCATTCTACAATATAGGCTGCAACCCCTGGACCCCGGGGGGGGGGGGGGGGGGGGGGGGTCTCACAATGCTCCTCAATCTTGATGACCTCTGACCCTGGATGTCGAACGCTTGGGTGACCAGAGAAAATCCTGGTGTGTGTGTGTGTGGTGGTGGAGGTGGTGGGGGTATGCACACCACCCAGTGAGAAAATATAAATAATGAGAAAACACACCCTAATACATTGCACAACAAACAAAGTAAGTGAATACATTTTACACAGAGTATTAAAAGAAAAACCTGTGGCAATTCTTAGTACTCAGCCATAAGAACCAGGTATGAGAACTGTTCTGACTTACTGTCAAACTCTGAGCTGGGTGAACCAGGGTGGTCTACCTCTCAGGGCACCACTGCTGGGTGGCTCAGTTCTAACTTGTTCGGTTTAGCAGGCTACCACCTCTCCATCTCTACCCTGTTGCTAGCCTGCCTTTGGTGTAGCACTCCATTCACTTCCCAGCCAGAGGGAGGCAGGGCTCATTTTACTATGTGCCCTGTTCTGTCCCAGGATGGGCTCACTGCCGGACTCTGACGAGGTGAGAGAGTGAGGAGGAAAGAGAACCAGCACCCAGAAGTAAAATCACTTCAACATAAGATGACCGTTGAATTAGCTACAAGGCAGCAGGGCTGTTTGGTTTGGGGATTTTCCAGCAAGTTCGACTTCCAGGTGGACCTTAATGAGGTGACAGAGAAAAGAATCCACCGGTTTAATCGCACGGTCGTCATGGTAGCCTTGTCTACTTATAGCTGCACTAGTTCACGATGAATCCCCTAACACACACACACACACGCACACACAGCCACCCCTACGCCTCCGAGTGTGCACCCCTCCCCCTCTCTGAAGGGTCTGGCTGTCCTGCCTGCATTGACTGGCTTTTGTTTGAGGTCTGATTCGGAGAGCATATGGCAGGTGCCCCTCAGCACACAGCTCTTCCCCACCCCCGGGCGTCAAGGCCTATGCATGTGCACTCTGTGGTCAATGTGTCTGAGCTTCTTGTGACTATTTGTCTCAGTGTGGCTTGTCTACCCCCCTTTCTGTTGTTGATGTTTAAAACCCTTCACTGAGTCCAGTTTAGTCTCAAAACAATAAAACTTCAATCTACAAAGACATGACATCAATCATAAGCCTTCAGTCACAATCACAACAGGATAAAACAATGTTTATGAACAAAAGCGATGTAACAACACACAATCCAGATTATTTAACATTCATTAGTTATGTCAATTATGCTAACAAATAGCCACGGTATGCAGATCTTTTACTTTGTAGACTCAAACATGCCAGGAAGACTGATGTGATCACAGCAGGACTTCATGGAATGTAACAACAGCAACTTTGTGATTGTCAACTGACTTTTAAGTCACATTAAACATCCTCTAACTTCTGACTGTGTGCTCCAGACAAAGCAACATCTCTAAATAAGAGGCCAACAGTCATTAACGCTCAGACCCAATGGGTTTTAAAAAAATTGACCAAGAGCTATCTTCTATAAAGAAATACGAGATCCTCCATGGAATAACACACAAGTGCCAACAAAAAGCGCAGATACAATGGAGTAACAGGGTTAAACAGTGACTGCTGAGAGGCACAAAAGAGAAACCGATTAATTAACTAAGTGTGGAAGCCAGGAATGCTAAAGGAAAGACAAAGGGAAGCTATGAGACCAAGGTGGGATGTTCAATAACTGGGCCAGATTCCACAGCACCTCAAGATAGATGAAAACCTAAAGTCAGTTGAGAATCAAACAGCCTTTCAAGCCTTCATCTATCATGACAGAGACTCCCCCGAGTCCTGGAGGAGTCAAGCGCAGGAGCACAGAAAGCAGAGAGACTCACTAACTGAAAGTCACGATCAAAAGACTTGATACAAAACCAGATTCATCTATCAGAGACTTAAAAATAACCTTTATACGGGCCAAGACCACTTAACTGAGCTAACACTAAAATATATTCTGAAAACTCTCAGGAGGTCGACTTAAAATAAAACCTCTCCAAGTCTCACAACTGAGACTTCTGACTGAAGATGATCTGTATGCACGCATGCATGCGCGCACACACACACACACACACACACACACAAAGCCCTCCCATGTGAACAAGCCCTCTTGCAGACATCTACTTTGACAGCATCATTAGTCTAATTACCCATGATGCCAAGGGCTGCATTAATGCATGGAAAACCTCAGTCTGTTAATCACCAGACATACATTGAGACAGTAATAACTACCACAGAACCTGCACCAGGCAAGGAGGGACACACCTGCAAAAACACAAAGATCTAACAGCAGAGACGCACAATGGCCCAACATCAAACCAAACCACTTGTGTTCAGAAATCAACTGGGCTCAGGAAAGGATGCAGCTGAAACCATAAAAAACATCTCAATGTGTGTAAGCAGATATATTAAATGAAAATATATAATAAAGGCATCTTTTGGAAACAAAAGAGCTAATATATTGTTCATTTTTAACCAATTTGTTGATATTTGTAAATATATAGTTTTGTCCCATTTATTGTATGGAAACATAGATGGAAATAAACTTATATGAATCAAAACAAAACAAACAATATTATATCACGCTTATCCCCAACTGACTGAACAGCAGGAAAAGCCTAGAAAATCCTCACAACTGCCCAAGTTTAAAAACAGACAAGTTCAGGTTTTCTCCAAAACTCCACACCTATTTTTCCACCATGATGGACACCTTTTAAATTGGTATTTTAGTGAGCATTGGACCACTTGCATATTTTTAAACTGTTGAAAATGTGGAGCTAAAGGCAGGACAAAAAAGCCACCATGGTCTGTTGAATGTCTAACTTAGCTCTGCAGCAGGAAACGCTTTCCTTTGTGCCATGTGTGCTTAAACCACAGTCTCTCTCAGACCAAGAGCTATTCAAGAAGAAAAAGGGCACACTGTTTTTAAACAGGAACTGCCACTAGCCTAAAAACACACCTATATACCAGGTCACTTTACCAATTTTCCCATAAGGAACAAAGCTACTAAAATAAATGTATTTGTGGACTTACTAGCTAGCAGCAGACAGGAGAGGGCAATGATGTAGAGCTGTTTGACAGCAACATCATAGTGGTCCATGAACAAATCCAGCAGGTAAACAGCCAGATGACGCGCTGTGGGACATAGGTGGTAGCGATTACTCAGGATGGCCAGCAGGTCTGCAAAGTACCGCCTCATGCCAATTTGTGGGGAGTGGGCCCGGTACACCGGCAGCTTCAGCTCCTAAAGACAGGGAAGAGAGAATGGAAAGGAGACATAAATGAGGGGGTGAGAAGAGAAGGGGTGGGCAGGAAGCAGTGATGAAGAAGCATGGAGGCTGTAAAAAAAATAAGCATAATAATAGTGATCCCTGCAAATCTCAAGCTGACAGTTTAAACTGATGTCAGCTGAGCTGATGGGAGTCAACAGCCTTTTAAGAGAGACTCCTACTAAAAGTTTGATCCGGTAGGATTAAACTGTGTTTCAGTCTAACTGAACTCACGACTCCTGAAGAAGACCGGAGCTAATTTGGGTCATTGCAGGGTTGGGTGAACAATGGGGGTGAGGGTGTGTGTGTGTGTGCCTGTGGTTTTGGGAGGGAGGGTCTTCCTGCAGTCGGGTTCAGCAGCAGATAGGATTAGGTTTCACCCCTAACACATCTCCTATTCATGATCAATTAGCTGCATGTGTTTCAAAGTGGAAAGAAGACACTCGGGGCTTTACCATAGAAGCTTCAAACACCAAAGTTGGAAACACAACATTCTAGCTTCTATATCTGTCTGAGCAGCAAGCACTAATTCATAGAGATGCTTTTTTTCCATTTTTTTAACTGGTTTTAGAGAAATATTGTTGCTCTCTGGGGTAACAACAGATTTGAGATATAGGTTTAGGATTTAGGGTTTAAATATTAATCTCCTTAGGATGGTGAGGGTTTGTAAAAAATGAAGTAGAAATATAGAAAACATCCACACAACATCAGGACTGTTGCCAATACAAGGCAATAGTGTAGGTTCAACCCAAAAAGAGAATTACTGGCAGGTAGTAGTTGCAGCCCAACTACATTTCCAGATTAGCTCCCAGACAAATGTGTTTACAGTCAACAGAATTAGCTGTGAGGGCTAATCTACGACACGGTTACCGTCAGGCATATTCCGAGCACAACTAGAACAACGGTGATGCTCAGACTGACACTTCAATGGAATCCAAAAAATAAACAGCAGCCCCCCTCTCACATCTACATGATATAGCAGCACCGGGGGTGGTGCTGTTGCCTCCCATATCACCCTACACTCTCCTCGCCTCCTCCTGCTGCCTCTGGTCCATCTGTCTGTCTAGGGGTGCAGGGGGGGGGGGGGGGGGGTCTGGAGGGCTCCAGGGTGGTAGTGTGGAAAGGGGGAATGGGGGTTGCCTTTGTGGGGGATCCGCACCATAATTAAGGATTCCACAGCTGCCTTCTGATTTGCATGTCTGATAATTTGCCACATGCTACACACCACCGCTATCTCCCACATCAGGGCATTATCACTGCAGCAAACGTCATTAAGGCTGGATGAGACGGTGGGGGTGCGGACGCAGTGCAGGAGATCTGAACGCTGTATGAAGCTCTGATAATGATTTCACCATTCTTCTCCACAGCAAAAAGTCACCACACTTTAGAGATTACACGTTCCAGAAAACATCCAACAATCTGCACTCATCAGAAGGTTTTTCAAAAGCACCAACAATCACCCTGATAAGGGTTAGAAAAACTACAGCGTGGTGCTAGGAGAAAAAAAAATTAGTCGGAAAGCTTTCTTGCTTGATAGAATGGCCAAAATTCATTAGAAATCAACAGAAAGGAGCAAGTTTTTATTTATAGATCAAAGACAGTTGGCATTTTTAGCAATGTTGACTTGGATGCCATTTTATTGTCTGATCAAGTTGCAGCAAACTTCTGAAAAAGGTCTGCTACAACTTCAGTCACTCTCAGATGTTGAGATGAATATCTATTCTAATAAAACTTATCATTTTAATCATTCATGTTTGTCCTGAGATATTTAACACAATTATATTCTTATTTAGCACAATTTATTCAATCTTTTGTCTTAGCCTTAAACTTATCTGTTCTTCATGCCTGATACTGCAATTATAAATAAGCTCTTGTTATCCCACTTAGTCATTAAACTACTCAGTTTCCACAGTAAAACGTTTAATAGGCTCTGTTAAATGCCAAATGAACAGACTTATGTCTAGCAGAGCTGCAGAACACCTGTTGTGACACGTACAAGATGACTGCAATAAAAACCCATGTGTGGTAACGCATGAAAAGATCCCAGAAACACATTTAAACTCTTTCAGAACAAAAAAGGTATTCAGTATGTGTGTGTGTGTGGGGGGGGGGGGGGGGGGGGGGACACCTGTTCCACGTGACCTGGTTGTGGGCTAAACTGATTTAAACAAAGGCAGGTTTTACAGTTCAAAGATGCTCCGATACTCTAGAAACAAAAGATCAGTGTTCGGCAAGAGCTAAACGTTTCACCTAACAGCAAGGTCATTGTTGGACACAGAATACCAAACGAACAGAGACAGATGCTCTACATCTCACACCCAAAACCCAACATCAGACTGACAGTAATGCTCTCTCATTAAAGCGGATGAGAAAAACGTGGGTGTGTTATGTTTCCAGCTCCGCGCTCAGATTTTTGTTCTCATTCAGCCGCTCATTCTGAGTCAGACGCTCTCCAGCATGAGAAAACAAACTCAACATCTGGAAATGACTCGCAGCTGTCTAATTTACCATCCAGGACTCCTCAGTCCCGTAAAGACACCTGATATTCACATCGTCATCTATCTTCTTCATCACCACCTACAGGATGATGACACCACACAAGTCCCAGCCTGAAAAATGCCAGTCAAGCCACAAACGTCTCCATTAAAGTGACACCCAGGGAGAGAAATTATCACATTCTGAGGTTAATGAAGACAAATAATTGTGGAGTGTTAACCACTCAGTGTCATTACAGTTAAATTAGTTTCAGACAACAAAGACGTGTAATTATTGATACCACAATCTTCTCTTTAAAAAAAATCAAAGCTGCTTTTTAATCATTAAGAGTCAAACGTAACATTTTTATTGTATAAGACATATACAGGATTTAGTTTTGTATTATAAAGAATGATATCAAGAATATAAAATCTTCAATGTTTTTGACAATATGACTTTTTTGTATTGAGAAATCAAATCTCAGCCGTTTTAACAAATAATAATTTGCCATTAAATCATTACCTTGTTTCCGTCGAACCGATGACAGATAAACTAGGCAAATACCTAACATATATTTGCATGTGAAGTTTACAAAGACAAGGCTGACTCACACAGTGATTCCTGCTAAAATAGTGTAGTTGTTATTAAGTTAAACTCACCTTAATGCGTAAAGACTGATGGATATCTGAAGCTAGCTGTCCTTTCCACCACTGTAGCTCCCTCTCCATCTTTCCCATCCAGAGGAGGTTTCAGGAATCACGTTTAACCTGCTGAGATGGGTGTTTCCAGAGCAAAAACAGATCACAGATACTTAAAACGGCAGGAAACGGGCTGAGCATGAAGATAAGGCATCAAACTGACTCAACAATCTGACAGAAACTAGAGACTCAAGTTTTTACTACGATAACACAAGACTGCATTATTTACCCAAAACCATGAAATAACAACAGAGTAGTGTGGTAATTTCACACAACAATTTAAACCGTTGTTTTGGTGAAGTTTTTGTCTTTATTAGACAACAGGAGAGGTCCCTTTTGCAGCACAGGCCATCTTCTCTGCTCGGGAATTTAAATGGCTCAGTTAAATGTCCACTCAACCACGCGGTGGGTCGAATTATTCTAACAGCCTCTCACATTTTATCTACTCACGCGGTGCTTCAAAAAACACGTTTCTAATAAATAAATTAATAAAGTCATGACGAAAAATATATAAACCGTTTCCACGCCGAGAGACAGCGGCCAAACAGAGAGGCGACACAAGTTAACTGGCCACCTAGCTCTGAAATATTAGCCTCGTTAAAAAAAACATACTGGCAATAAAACTGACGCTTCATCACTAATTTAACCATTTTTTTCCTGTGTGTAAACAAGCCGGTGAACTTTTCATGTCAGTAATTAATACATGTGCCACTCACCGCTCCGTCGGGAATGCCCCCAGACCCCTTTGTCTCAGTCCGACATCCTGAATGAGAGAACTCCTTCTCGGCTCAACTTTTAAAGAGAACTCTATTTGACGCTAAACGAGGAAAACTTTACATCCGCTAGCAAGAGCATCAAACAGCCGCCGCAGCCAAGTCCCGCCGACAGACCTTCGGCAGCGCCAATCCCCGCAAACTGTTCACACTTTTTTCCGAGTGTGCTCTACGTTTTCTCTCCGGTGGCTTCGCTGTAACAAAGTAGCCAGTTCGGCTGAGCCAGCTGCTGCCGCTGAGCAACGAGGCTCGTGCGCGAGACGTTAGTCCCTCCTCCAACCTGGGACTTGTAGTTTTATGGGGTCAGTGTGAGAACTACAAGCAGCTACATCTTAAAGGGGGCAAAATGTTTCTCCCCTGCCCGATTATAATATAACAATATATAATATAATATAATATAATATAATATAATATAATATAATATAATATAACTGAATAATGAAATTTTGCATCAAATTTTTATTTTGGTGCAAATTTGCATGTTATTGGTATTGTATGTGTTCTATTTGTGCAAGTTTCTTGTTTTTATAACCAGAAAAAGAGGTGCAAGTCATAAAATAAAGACAACAGAATATATGCTTGAGATACAGTGTTTGTGTCATTTTGTCTTTGCATTTTTCAGTGCTATATGCTACACTCACACGCTAAGAAATTAACAGAGTTGCTAGTAAGAATTCCAAAATGGCAGATTTTTGTTTAATTTCTACTACATAATGACATGCATATTCTGTTGTCTTCTGAAACAAATATAAAAGAACAGAAGCAATTGTTGGAGCCACTTCCTCTTTCATCATTTATAATTAAAAACAAACTTTACATGAGCTCCGCTCAATAACTATTACACAGAAAACCCTTTACCTCAGACTAGAGCCCTTTGTTGAGAGGTTGTCCTTGTTTTCTCTACTTGTGCGCCCCCTGGTGTCAAAATCTGTTCAAATACTGCGATTTAACACTAAAACATTTCTTGATCTCTCTCTCTCTCTCTCTCTTTAGTAAGAAATGAAGTAAATTAAAACTTGGGGACTTTTCACAGTACTAACTTTCAGTCTGACTATTTGCTTTTCTGTCAGACTCATTGAGGAACTCCTGGTCAGCATAAATAAGAAAGCCCGTAAAAGTGCTATCTGTCCAAAAAGGGTCAAAGAAGAGTCCGTTTTGCTCTGAATAGAAGATCTGCAGCCAGACTTGATCTGACTTCTTCAGCTGGAGAACCGTAGAACCAGAAGCTACATCATGGTTTCCCGTATTGGCATCAAAAGTCTTGATCTTGTATTGTCCATTGTGCACCAGCCCGATGGCCAGGTGCTTGTTGGCTAGTGTGATATCATAGGTGAAGTAATAAACTCCTGGGATCTCACACACAAACTTTCCACTACTGGCATTGTAGTGATTCCCCTCGTTCAGCAGGATCCGGCTGAAGAGGATGGGCATTCTTTCTTTTGGGTAGCTCTTTGTCACGGCCACAGAGAAGGCCGAACGAGCTGCTTTGTCGCAATTACAGCCACCGGGGGCTCCTTGCTGACCCCGGTCTCCAAACTCTCCCTTCTGTCCCTGTTTTCCTGTCCCTCCTGCTGCTCCACGCAGTCCCTTTAATCCCCGAGGTCCGGCTTTTCCAGTCAAACCCTCTCGGCCCTTCACACCTGGTTTACCTGGGTTCCCGGGTCGACCCGTATCACCTGATGACATACACAAAGCATGACAGGGCTATGAAATATCCAGATAGATTTGAAATACTGTAAACAGATATGTTTGCTTATATTATGGTTGTTTAGTCAATGCTTGCACATGGAACTCACATGGGCCTGATATGAACTATATAAAACTTCCATAATAACTACATGTGACCTGCAATGATTGCTATGTGAAGAAGGTTGCAGCGCAGACAAAAAGATCTTTTACACCCATTTGTCAAGATTCTTGGAGCAAATCTGAACCTTGTAGAAAACCCTTCTAGAAAATATTAGATTGTATGAAGATGAAAATACTAATATTTAATATAATATAAACTAATATAAAATTTAGCTTTTTTTTCTACTTGCTTTTACTCAGGAGTGACAAATTCTTCTGAAGTCATTAAGTTAATGATGCCTCCAAAAAGTGGTGAAACTATTAGGACATTAGAGTTCTGCTTGAGTGCATTCTCCATCTGCAAACTCATTAACCAATACTCATGAGGAGGGAGGATGGAGCATAAAAATACTCTGGGGGAAACTGATGACAAAAATAAACATGAAGAGTTAGCACTTCTGGATTCTCTTGTGTTTGATGCAAATGCCATGCAGCAACAGGAAGCTAAACACTGCCTAACATACAACTGGTCAACAGTGATCCACGATTCACTCCTCACAAGCTGCATCTCGTCTTTTCCCCGTTTTAAAGCAATACATTTAAAAAATGTTTGTGCATTTCAAACATTAGCACAAAAAGTGTTTGAAATGTGTACAGGTGAAACTCAAAAAATTAGAATATGGTGCAAAAATGCATTTATGTCAGTAATTCTACTTAAAAGGTGAAGCTAATGTATTTGATAGACTCATTGCATGCAAAGATTTTGGTCTTTGTTTGTTATAACTGTGATGATTATGGCTTACAGCTTATGAAAACCTCACAGAATGTTGGGAGAAGGTTCAATATTCTAGAATCATGGTCACAATCCTAAACACCTGCAAAGGGTTCCTGAGCCTTTAGATGGTTTCTCAGTCTAAGATGAATTACTGAAATAAATGGACTTTTACATTATGTTCTATTTTTGGGAGTTTCACATAAAATCCCACTGAATGAGGGGATACGATGTAATATGCCACAGTTATTCAAGTATTTTATTGTTTAGGTTTATAAATTTAAAAAAATGCATTTTTCCAGCAAAAGCATAGAGCAATCACATCCAAAGTGTAACCCAGGGGCCATTTACAGAACTTGGAAGACTCCAGAGAGATTTCCTCTACTGGGCTGTTGATGTAGCCAAACCTAGACTGACCGTAGCAGTAGCAAATGATTTTGCTCTGCAGGTCGGCCTGACCATGCTCCACTGTAGCCACAGCAGGTCTACCATTGGTCTGAACAGCTTTGTGACTTGTCAATCACACCCCTCTACAGTTAGTGGGTGGGCCACCGCTAGAGCTGTGACGGAGTGAAACAAAGATTGTTTTGGCTCAGAAACATTTGAAATTGAGAAAAACAATCGGGTAAAGAACGGCATTCTTTGGTGCATTTAAACTTGTGCTTTTCCTTGAGTCAACAGCAGACAGAGGTATTTAAGTCATTTATTTAGAAAAAGGGTGTATTTGCTTCATCTTCTTCTTTGACGATGAATGGTGTACCGTCCAATTGAATGACATCCGTAGATTTCAGATTCAGATTTCAGATTTATTGGCCAAGTAAAATTACATTTACAAGGAATTTAGCTTCGTTAGACGTTCGCTCTCTGAAACATACAACAACCACAATAAATGAGAATAAAAATACATAAAAAACACATAAGAACATGTATACCACACACATATATACATATATGCATACACGTACACACACATATACATATGTATACACACACATACACACACTCATCCATGAGCATACTGAATAAGTATTAAAAACTATAATAAAAGGATGGTAAAATAATCTACAGATTCAGGAGAGAAATGGCTGAAGGAAAGAAACTGTTCTTGTGTCTGGTAGTTTTTGTATACAGTGATCTATAGCGTCTGCCAGATGGGAGGAGATGGAAGAGAGTAGATGCAGCATGTGTGGCATCTTGGACAATATTCACTGCCTTTTTCCTGGTCCTGCTGATGTACAGTTCCTGGACAGAGGGCAGCTGGGCACCAATGATTTTTCCTGCTGTTTTAATCATACGCTGTAGTCTGCATTTGTCCATTTTTGTGGCTGACCCAAACCAGACAGTGATGGATGAGCAAAGTATGGATTCGACTGCAGCAGAAGATGATCAGCAGCTCTTGTGGTAGGCCGTACTTCCTTAGTTGCCGTAAGAAATACATCCTCTGCTGAGCCTTTTTGAGGATGGAGTTGATGTTTGTCTCCCACTTCAGGTCCCTGGAAATGATAGTTCCCAAGAACTTAAATGAGGCCACCATTATCACTGGGCTGTTGGATATTGTGAGGGGGGGCAGCACTGTGGGAAGCTTCCTAAAATCCACGACCATCTCCACAGTCTTAAGGGTGTTAAGCTCAAGATTGTGCTGACTACACCAGACCACCAGCCTCTCAACTTCTTGCTGATAAGCAGACTCATCACCATCCTGGATGAGCCCAATGACAGTGGTGTCATCTGCAAATTTCAGGATTTTACAGCTGAGTCATTAGAGGTGCAGTCATTGGTGTACAAAGAAAAGAGCCGTGGAGAAAGGACACACCCCTGTGGTGTACCGGTGCTGATCAGCCTTGTGCCAGACGTAACATTGTTCAACCACACATGCTGGCTCCTATTTGTCAGGAAGCTGGAAATCCACTGACACATAGCAGGGGAAACAGTGAGCTGAGAAAGCTTTGAGGTGAGGATTTCTGGTATAACGGTGTTAAAAGCAGAGCTAAAATCCACAAACAATATCCTTGCGTAGGTCCTTGGTTGATCAAGATGTTCCAGGATGAAGTGCAGCCCCATGTTAATTGCATCATCCACTGACCTGTTTGCCCTATAGGCAAACTGCAGGGGATCCAGCTGGTGGCCTGTGGTGCTTTTAAGATGGGACAGCACCAAGCGCTCAAAGGACTTCATGACTACTGATGTCAAAGCCACGGGTCTGTAGTCATTCAAATCGGTAGGGGAGGATTTCTAAGGTACTGGGATGATAGTGGAGCTTTTGAAGCATAATGGGACCTCACACAGCTCCAGCGATCTGTTGAACATGGACGTAATTTTGGGGGGGACAGGGGGGACATGCCCCCCCCCCCCCACTTTTTCCAAAGTCAAGTTTTGACCCCCGCACTTTTTACCATCCAACAACAATATTGCGCTATATTAAATTGACACTGGTTGAGCTCTAGGACCAAGCGGAAAACAACCGTTTGTGTTGAAACCTGTTTCCCATTAGAGCATTCTGTAAATACCCCCCCCCCCCCGTGTCCCCCCCCCCCCCCACACACACACACACACTTCTAAAGTGAAAATTACGTCCATGCTGTTGAATATCATTGTGAAGACAGGTGCTAGTTGGACAGCACATGTCCTGAGGCAGGAAGGAGTTACTCCATCTGGGCCTGGTGCCTTCCATAGGTTCTGTCTCCTAAAGATGTTGCAGACATCCTCTTCCTTCACAAGGAACATAGCTTGTGGAAGAGGAAAGAGGAGTAAGAATTTCCAGGTGAGGGGTGGCGGCTGCAGCTATGCTGGAGTGGAGGAGGAGTGTGACATTCCTTCCCTCAAAGAGACAGTAAAAGCCATTTAGCTCCTCAGCAAGGCCGTGATTAGCATCAGAAATGAAGGATGGTCTCCTGTAGTTGGTAATGTGCTGAATGTTTCTCCACAATAATGTGGGGTTGTTGGCTGCAAACTGGTCTTTCAGCTTTGCTGCATACTTTATTTTAGCAGCTCTGATCTCCTTAGTCAAAGTGTTCCTGAGTGATTTGTATAGAGGCCTGTCTCCTGCCCCATAAGCCTGCTCCTTTGCCCGTCTCAACTGGCTCAATAAACTGTTGCTGTAAACCATGGCTTGTTATTATTAAAGGTGCGAAAAGTCGTTGTTGGCACACACACTTCCTCACAGAAGGTGATGTAGGATGTCACAGTGTCCGTTAGCTCGTTCAGATCGCCTGTGGCATCTGCAAATACTCTCCAGTCTGTACAATCAAAACAGTCCTGTAACTCCTCTTTTGCTTCATTTGTCCATTTCCTCACTGTCCTGATGGCTGGCTTTACAGATTTTAGTTTTGTTTATAAGTGGGGATAAGATGAATCAAATTATGGTCAGAGAGGCCAAGAGCTGCACGAGGGACAGAGTGGTATATCCCTTTAAGAACTGGTAGAGGTGATTACGTCACTCTGTCTCCTGCTCTGATTGGTCCTAGCGATGTCCAGTTGTGTAAAAAGACAGTTTGATAAACAACCATAGATTTGGCAACTATGATTGAGCAGTTTCAATGGTTTGTGGCCAGACTAATTATTTACATGGCTGACCAGGCTACATCTATACCCTCTAACATAATTCTGTTCTAATGTCCCTATTTGAACCCATTACAAATAAACAAGCACACATACAAAAACAATTAAATATTTTTTGCATTTTTTTTATTTAGTAGGAAAAAAAAAATCACAATTTTTGTCTTCACCAGGACAGTTAAGATGACCATTTGGCCCTTGTCTTTAAAACTGTATGAAGTCACATCTTCTGCAGGAAAATCTTGGGTTTAGAAACACTGGACTCCACAAAAACAAACAAACAAATAAATATGTCCATATAAAAGATAAAGATTACAATAATGACCCGCACTACAGTCTCCCATAGTCAGATCAAGCATCCATCACAGTCCCACAGACCACAGGACCCCCAGAGGCCCGTTATACAATACGAGCCAGATCCTTTAAATCCTGTGGATCACGATGAACTCATCAAAAGTCTTTCAGCCCAAAATATGAACAATTTTTAAAATTTTGAAGAGAAATTCTGTTCTAAATCATCACACCGATAAACTACAAATGAACACTCACATTTGTAAAAGCATAAACAGGATTTGAGTTGGTAAGAGAGCATACCTCTGTCTCCCTTTACTCCCTTCTCTCCATCACTTCCATCTGGACCATCCAGTCCCGGTGGCCCCATCGGGCCCGTGGACCCCGGTGATCCGGGGGCTCCTGGGTTCCCCGATGGGCCAGCTGGGCCTGGCAAGCTGCACAGCAGCTGGGAGGACTGGATGGAGAAGTTACGAGCTTTCTTTGATGAGAGCTTTGTCGACTGGGAGAAGGCGGCTGGGAGCAAACAGATCACCACACACATGTGGAGCATGGTGGGCACTGCAGAGGAACAAGGATGAAGGGAATAAACTACAGCTATAACATGATCAGAGGAGGAATATACCAAAAAGAAAAACAAAAGTCTGTATGACATGTTCACAAAGAGGGAAGTAGATGCAGATCCGTGCATCAGTAGTTGCAATAAAATGAACAGCACACTATTGTCTAAAAAAATATGCCTTTACTCCTCGCTTTAGTTGAAATATAAAGGACCAGTCACCTACAAGGCACGTTTTACAACTGCTGCACATCAGCAGACAAATAAACGACTCACCAGCTGAGAAACCATGGTGGCAGGACATGTTTCTGCTCTGTCCACACACTTTTCTCTGCATGAAGGAGCAGAAGATTCCTGAGTTTTCAGTGATGATCCAACATTCTTTATGACTCGATCCGCAGAGATCAGCCCAGAGTCACCGTTCTAAACATCCACCCTGTCTGTGCAACCGCTGGGCTGACAAATACTTTCACCATGATGTCACTGAAATCAGCTCAGCTCAACAGCTGCAACAGCCGCTCATAAACAAACGTACAGTCTGAAAAACCAGTGGAACCGATGTTTTCTTAAAAATTATAAGTTAAGAGTAGAACCAAACAAGGTGGTTGGCAGTGTGTTTAAACATTTAGCAGATTGTTGTTATGCGTCTGAATTTTGAATCAATGTAAACAAAACAATTCTATAACAAATTATTCTTTAATCTGAGTTAAATACACTCACCTAACGGATTATTAGGAACACCTGTTCAACTTCTCCTTAATGAAATCATCTAATCAACCAATCACATGGCAGTTGCTTCAATGCATCTAGGGGTGTGGTCCTGTCCTGGTCAAGACAATCTCCTGAACTCCAAACTGAATGTCAGAATAAGAAAGAAAGGCGAATTAAGTCATTTTCAGCGTGGCATGGTTGTCGGTGCCAGACGAGCCGGTCTGAGTATTTCACAATCTGCTCAGTTACTGGGATTTTCACACACAGCCATCTCTAGGGTTTACAAAGTGTGAAAAGGGAAAAACATCCAGTATGCGGCAGTCCTCTGGGCGAAAACGCCTTGTTGGTGCTAGAGGTCAGACGAGAATGAGCTGACTGATTCAAACTGATAGAAGAGCAACTTTGACTGGAATAACCACTCGTTACAACAAAGCATTTGTGAAGCCACAACACGCGCAACCTTGAGGTGGATGGGCTACAACAGCAGAAGACCCCACCGGGTACCACTCTTCTCCACTACAAATAGGAAAAAGAGGCTACAATGTGCTCCAGCTCACCACAATTGGACAGTTGAAGACTAGAAAAATGTTTCCTTGTCTGATGAATATTGATTTTTGTTGAGACATTCAAATGTTAAGAGTCAGAATTTGGTGTAAACAAAATGAGAACATGGGTCCATCATGCCTTGTTACCACTGTGCAGGCTGGTGGTGGGGGTGTAATGGTATGGGGGGTGTTTTATTGGCACACTTTAGGCCCCTTGATGCCAATTGGGCATCGTTTAAATGCCACGAGCTACCTGAGCATTGTTTCTGACCATGTCCATCCCTTCATGACCACCATGTACCCATGGTGGTCTAATTCTTGACATTTGATGGCGACTTCCAGCAGGATAATGCACCATGTCATAAAGCTCCAGTCATTTTAAATTGGTTTCTTGAACATGACAATGAGTTCACTGTACTACAACGACCCCCACAGTCACCAGATCTCAACCTGATAAGAGCTTCTTTGATACATGAAAAAAGCTGCGTTATGCAAACCTGATTATTATTACATCCTTCTCACACATTAAACTTAATTATTCGTTCTTTGATGCAGGGAGATATTTAAAATATTTGATTTCTTGAAAAATTGTTCCAAACAAATTAGTTGTATGTTTATGTGGATTTTGACAATACAGAGAATTTCCATTTTGCACAACTTAACGTTTATTTCTGCAAAGGTAAAAAAGTAGAATAACTTGGTTTAACCCAACACCAATTAATTTAAACAAGTTAAGTTTATTAGAAATTACACCAGTTCAGAAGCAGTCTTTGAGCATCTTCTGTAATTTACTGTGAAGACAGATGGAAATGAGAGCAAAAATACAAAAAATAAGAAACTTTTTGTTCTGAAACGAACAAAACAAGAGCAGAAACATGATCATTTCCAAAGTAAAAGGTTTCTTCTAACGACCTGACAGCAGCTGTAGGTTTGATTCTCTACTGAGCTGTAACTCTGATAAGAGTCTTTTCTGTGCAGAAAGCAGTAGGGATAAAGACCCGGTCACTGTCCGAGGAAGGAAGCCATAGGATCATCTGGTCGGCAGCGTTTCATGCGGAAAGCCTCAATCTCCTCCTCGGTGGGAGCCTTAATCTCCTGGAGGCTGTGGTAGGGCCTCTTCCTCTCATCCAGCTGCATCATCACGTCTACTTGCTTCACTCGCTTGTCTTCTGCTTCGAGAGCCTGAGAGGATGCAGGAGGGGTGAGGAGGTTAGTCACAGAGAAACTGAACAAATCACACACACATTTTACTATTTAAACATCTAAAAGTGCTAAGTTTTATGTTGTTTATGTGCTAAGCACATAAACAACATAAACAACAAAAGTATTTTCACCTTCTTCAGCTTCTCTCTCTTCTTCTCTTCATCCTCAGAGTCGCTGTCATCTGAGACGTGCTTCTTGTTCTTTTTGTTCTTCCTTTTCTTCTTTTTCTCTTTCATCTTTTTTTGGTGCATCTGGCGAGTCAAAGTATGGCGAAGGTCAAATTTGCTCTAAAGAAACAAATCTGGGAAAACCATAAATAACTGCTGCTTTACTGATACATTCAGGGATCACTTACTTCCAGCAAGGACTTGGGCTCTTCTTCATCCTGCGGCTCCGTTAGTCCCTCTTCAAAGGGAACACATTCTGAATTGTTCTGGAGGTAAACAGAGTAATCACATGAGAAACATCCCTCCTGTATGCCAGAGGGTTTCGCCTCTCCCACTAGGCGTACTTACGGTTTGGATCCCAGCATCTCCTGTGCAGTAGCTCTGTTTGACCATGGAGTGGCAACACTTGTACCCCCAGAAGCCATCCTTCCAGTAGGAGCCCCATATGCACTACGAAACATACAGAATAACAGATATTCAGATAAAAGTCTCAGAGATCTGAAAATTTACAGGAGCTTTTTTTTGTGTCCGCAGGCCTCACAGTGTGGTTGTTGATGAGCACGTCCTCCTCGTATTTGGAGCGAGCGACGGCCTTCTCGAGTCCTTTCAGAATGGCGCCGTGACGAGAGTACTCCACGTAGTCCTCAGTCTGAGCCAACAGCAGCTCCCTCGGCGGTGCGTCCAAGTGCTCCTGACCTCCGTACTGATGTCACAAACAAAGTCAGGGAGACAGTTTGTAGCCGAGTCATCATTATGTCTTCATTTAAATATGACAGATAGTCCTGTTACAAACGATCAGCTTCTGTCCCCAACAAACAACCAACATCTACAAGGTGGGGGTGTACCTTCTCTAGGATGCTCTCCCTCTGCTCCTCTTTAAAATCTTCCTTTTTGACCTTGAAGGAGCGATGAAGCAGCTCCAGCTTGGTGGGGTCGGCCTGCAGATGGACCTCAGAGCCCCTCTCATAGGCCTCCCACGCAAACACTGTCACAAAGGGATGACACTCAGGTGAGGCAACAGTTCACAAAAACGGCATTTCCTTGTTACAGTGGCTGTGATCTCCTTCTGCAGCAGAAAACCAGCTTTCCTCTGATTCTCTCAGACAAATGAAACTACTTCTGCTGTTAAGAAAAACAGAAACTGGAGATTTTTATATTAAATTGTCTCTTGGTTACTGCCGTTTCCAACATTTCTATAGGAGCACACCAGGTTTTGTGACCACTGGTAATAAGTTAAGGCTAGTATTTTTATTTCTTCTGATCGGTTATGAACATGTTACATCACAACAACTTGAACTTCCTTTCACAGAAAACTTTTGTAAACTCTAACAGAGTATCTGCAGGTTTAAGGGAGCCAAATTTAAGACTTTTTAACACCTTTTCTAAGGCCACTTTGACCAAATTTAAGCTATTTTTAAAATTAAATTTAAGCTATAATTTCCAGCTATTGCCTGGAACCGGTGCTAACCATGTCGCAAACGTGGGATTAGCCATCCAGTTACCATTAAACTTGCACTTCCCCATGGCGCAAGCTCCCACTAGCTTAACCAGCTAATGTGCTCATCTAAAAATAGCCCCCTTTCACGACCAGCTGAATGTGTACGGTTCCGCTTACGCCAACATCGTACACACAAAACGCTGAACACCAACTAGAAATTCATGAAAATTTGACAAAAATAAAAGAATCTTGTTTATTGGGTCTTTGGTAATTTAAGACCTTTGGAAACTGTATTTAAGGACTATTTGTCATTTTTAAGGATTTTTAAGGCCTTAAATTTGGAAAAGCAAATTTAAGACTTTTTAAGGACCCGCGGACACCCTGTCTAAATGCAGCTGAGGTTCGTTCAGTTAACGCCTCACACTACTGAAACTTTCTTTATATTACGTCACTTCTGCAGAGAAAAGAAATCACAGTAAAGACTCACGCTGTGTTTGAGCCATGCTGATCGTGTCTCCGGTGTAGCGAGCAAAGTTGTCTCCAGCGTAACCCACCCTATTAGACAAAGCACTTCATTATCATTTCCTTTTAACCTGCTGATAAGACGATGAAAGCATTAATCATAACGTACTCATCTGGGTTCATGCCAGTGTTGGAGTAAGGGTTCTCTCTCATCGCTCGAGTCTTTGGATCGTAGTACGAAGAGTTTGGATCCAGGTTTCTCAGGTACTAGGAAACACAAACGGTTTCTGATGTTTTACGTCCATCACTCAATAGTTTTAAACAGCTCGCCATCGGTTCATCGCTGCCTTACTTTAGCCGTGTCTTCTCTGATACGCAGATTTCTGACAGTGATTCGTCTCTTAGAGTCAAAGTTCTGACCGGGCATGTCGATGTCATCTGCATATTTGTCTTCATCTTCGCCTTCGCTGTCATGTTCACGCTCCTGTGCAAAAAAAAACAAAAAAAAAAAAACAAACAAAAAAAAAAACAGAGAAAAGACCAAATTACATAATGGTTCCATAACTTTTACAACAGTTGTTATTTATCGTGTTACAGAACACTTACACTTTGGTCTAGCTTCCCTGAGGCCAACTCATCCTGAAGTTTCTGTGCTTTCAGGGTCCGCTTAGCCTGAGAAACACAGGAAATCACTCATCCAGGTCACCGATGGCGAATAACTAATCTGTCAGGTGTGATTCAGATTCTCTCACTTTTAATTTAACAGACAACATCTGGATTGTTGTCACCCTTTGAGGTACTTATACTTTCTCCATTTCAAACACAGGAGAAGTACTGCAGGGTTCATTGCTGGATAACTTACAAGATCCACTTTGGCGTACTCCTCCACGATGCGCTGGTGTTCCTCCGGGTCGTAGCCATTCCAGCGATCGCGCTTTCCGTCGTAGTCCATCGTTAGCTGGATCTGAGCGTGTTCATCTGGAGCTATACCTGTTCCAGTGAATTTGGCCCCAACTTTTCTGGGTCGCTGAAGGAACAAAGACGAAAATCAAATCTTGATCAGTATTTTATTTATTATAAATGAGATTTCATCTGAGGTTTAGAAAACTAATTATCTCTTGTTTTGCTGTTTTTTGGTTACCTCCAAGCAGTCTTTCTTTTTGTGTGTCATAGCTCCACAGTTCTCACAAGCACCTTTGCGGTATTTAGTGGTAACTGCATTCTACACGGAGACAAAAAAGCCAAGTTTCACACTTGCATGTTAATATAAATCATTAATAAACACCGTCCTGCTCCTGACCTCCTGCACGCCTCTCTTGTACCAGTCCCCTATTGCGGAGTACTGCTTCTGGCATTCGGACTGTGGTCTTTGATGTTTCAGCGTGGGTCTTTTTGATGGGTCGATGTACCAGGGAACTGAAGAAATATACTGAGGGATGTGAGGGTTGATGTCCCTGGAGACGAGAAAACAGCTGATTAACACCCCTGAAGAACCAAGCTTTTCACTGAGTTCCTTTCTTCCAACGTTAGAGATATGTCAAACCATGCAGGTTAAAGCGTTTAATCTAAACTTGCTAAACATTTTCATGGATCACCAGTACGAACCCCCCATTCACTTACTTTCCCTCCTCGTCCACCTCGGCTGGGGCATTTCCGAGCTTCCTCTGCTCTTCCAGCTCCTTCTTCTTCCTCCAGTCCTCTCTGGTCATCTTCTTGGGCTCATCCAGGCCCACGATCCCCTCAGAGGTCGTGTTGGGTTGCTCAGTCATGACTGGATGCGTCTTCAGAAATCCACATGAAAATAAGCATTTAAGTTACATCAGCATAACAGAAATCTGTACACCTGATCGATCTCGTTAACTTAGTGAGGGTTTTTATGAAAACATACTTCACCTTCGAACTAACCTGTTTACCGTCTGAGTAACGGAGCAAAAACTTTATCCGTACAAAAATAAAACTTAATAGCTAGAATTCCTTTGTAGTAATCAAACAAATATGGCACCAGAAGGTATTTATGTCTTCAAATTAAAAGTTTCCTCCGTAAAGCGCGTTTTTTTCCCCTTTATTTGTTTTTCTAGTAATACGCCATTGTCGCCATTTTATTTTTGTTTGGGAGGGAGGGCTACGTTTCTTCTTCTGTGGTGATTGCTCTTCTTCTTCGGTGGTGTTTTGCTTTATAGCTCTAGTCACAGTTTTAACAGCGACACCACTGGACACCATTCACTCAGTGAAATAAATGTGCAGACATTCATGATAATAATTATAATATATATTAATAAATATGTCTGTGGTGCAGACTGAGCAGGGCTGCCAACGTTTTAAAACGGTTTTGAATTTCTCTCTCTGTAGGTGCTTATATGTATGTATATGTGTATATATATACTTACATATGTACACTTCTATTTGTTCTAGTTACTGAACACTGTTTCATGTATATATGTTCATAAAAAACATATGAATGAATGAATGAATGAATGAATAATGAACGAATGGGATGCCCCCATGGGGAACAGATAAAGATAAATCCCAATGGGGCATTTAAAAGAAGCCTTTGGTCTAAATCGGTTCCGATATGAGAAGGGCTTGGGACCTTGGGAACCAGGAGGGTCTCCCATGGAACGGTGTGGGAGAGAGTTGGGAGATCAGATGTGCTGAAGTATTTCTCACCAGTTAGACATGACCCTGCTCCAGGGTCTCACAGAAAGCCTTGTGAAGTCACCATCTTGTTTGACCAAATAATCAAGCAGCCCTGGGCACCCCTAAAGGCTGAGGGATCTGACATTTCATACATAGAAGAGGGAGCAAAACAGGAGCAACCCAAACCGGAGCAGACCACCCTGGGAGACTTCTTCCCCATCGAGCTGACAGGGGGTCCATACCTGTCGCCAGATGCAACAAGGGGGATGCAGACACCCTCGGTCTCACACACACACACACACACACACACACACACACACACACACACACACACACACACACACACACACACACACACACACACACACACACACACACACACACACACACACACACACACACACACACACACACACACACACACACACAACACTTCTATGGAATAGGCCACACAGTAGAGATGATTAGTTATTCAACAGCAACAACAAAGAATATTATTGGGGCCACCCTTAAGGTGGAGCCTTTTGTATGTATAAATAATGGATACCCAGATAAGTCACCAGGCGATTGAAGACGGGAGAAGCCCGATCACTCAGGATCACACCTGACCGCCCCACCGGCTCACCTGGGTCCCTCTGATGAACTTCTCTGCCAGATTAAAAGAACTGAGTCACATTCGGGCCAGAACATCTCATCTGAAGAGCGTGAGTGTGACTTTCTCATTTCCTCCTCCACACGTGTAACAGAAAACCTGTGGTGATCCATCAGTAACAGGCAGGGTTTAAGAATACACTGTATATATGCTCTGCTGTTATGATTTTAAACACAATACTTAAAATACAGTACTAGGATTAAGTCAAGTAATTTAAAATATTACTAATCATAATTCCAAACAAGTATTTAGTGTTTATGTGATTAAATACAATTACAACACTGGTGACAAAGTAGGTCCGTTTTGGTAGAGACATCCAGAAGAGCCCAGAACTAAGAGGCTGGCCCTTGCGGGAATATACGGAGGGCCAGACCCAAAACCGAGCTAGCTAACTACTCGTTACACAATGTCACCACAATTATTCCACACATGGACTCCTGATGGATATCTTTATTACTGTTATTTAAAACATATTTATCTTTATTCATTACTTAATTCTTTGAATTGTAACCATATTTGAGTACAAATGAGCTTATTAGCTGTCAATATGTTCTAGGCCCCATCATTGAATTTCGACGCGTTAAATTTAATGAATACAAAACTATTTGGGTGATAATAATTGGATCCATTTATGATTATTAGCTTTTTTTCTAAAGCACATAGACCGGGGGTGTGCAAAACTTTCAAGCTGAAGGCCAAAAAATATATATTTCTTTGAGAATATTTTTCTGACACACCTCATAACAGTAAAAATCTGAACATTAAAAAGTTAAAAATCCTTAGAGGACCACAAATGGCCCCGGGATCCCCCTTTATCTTATGAACACGCCTGATGCAGATGGGAGGGGCACCATTGGAGGATTCTCTGTGCTTTTTCCATAACGTCGTATTATAATTGTATTGATGAGAAACAGTGCATTGTGATGTAAAACACGTTTAAGGCCGAGTGTGGCTGGGATGTTCAACTCCAGAGTTTATTTTAGACTGCCATAACTTGTTATACGAGCCGGAACTACTTTCGTTAAGGGTGGAGTGATACAGATGATGGTCGGAGGTCTTACTTTAGTTTTTAGTTAATTTAAGCAGATGTTAACCTTAGTTTTACTCATGTGTATAAAGGTAAACAACGTAAAAGCTAACTTGTTTTGTCTTTAAGCGATCCTCTGCAGTTTAGGAGTATTAACCAAGAGAATTACCGTAGCGACCCCTCCTCGTTTCTCGGAAACATGTTGATGTTGTTTGTGACAGTCTTCGGGCTTTCATGGGGTGAGTAGAACTATTTAATTACGCCAAAGTACCGCGATATATTGAATGTTTTATTACAGCTTTCTTTTTAGTCTCGACGTCTGAACAGTTCATAGGGCTGAGTGGTTGTTATTTTACCAAGTCTTCAACCGCTTAGAGACTTGTGTCCTCTTCAGTCGGGGACATTGTGTCTCCTACTGCAGACACCAACAGACTAAACAGGTTTTATCATTGGTCTACATCAGAAATCAAAGTAAAAGTGCTTAAGTGGAATTCATGAATGTTTAAATAAAGCATTATGTTGCTGGGTTGTCATACACATATACACGTGTGTGTGTGTGTGTGTGTGTGTGTGTGTGTGTGGGGGGGGGGGGGGGGGGGGGGGACAGGGGTGCTGCCAGGGATTTTGGGCCCCAATGAAATGAAATCATACATAACAAATTATGAACCACTGCACTTCCGCTTTTATCCGAGTCCTCCATTTTGTTATTTCTTCCTTTACTGAACATGTAAATCAATAGAAAAATTAAAGTATTCAAAAAGAAACCCATACATATGTATATGCATATATGTATGTAGAACATGTTCAATAGGAAGGGAAAGAAGCTCTGGTAGCTTATATAATCCCCCCGCGAATCAAATTTCAAGGAAGATAAAAACAAAAAAATTATTTTCCCTACACTGAGTGTCATAGCCATTTTCTTATAACAATTTTTATCCTTAATCACACAAACAAAATTTACATTTTCTGAGAGGGTGCTCGCTGCAGAACCCAAAAGGCGGAGCTGCACCATAAGGTGGAGCCTGCACCAGAGTCAGCCCCGCCCACTCACGCAAACAGCCCAGCCCACTGACTTCTTCTGTTTTTTTTAATTTTATTTTATTGCAAACTAACCTGACCCACATGAATTACGGCTGTTACTAGTTTACAAATGTTAATGCTATGTTCTATGCTCCAATTAAGCAAGATAAATATAACTTGCTACATGACAAAGACTGAATATGTCCCAAAATGAAAAGGTTTCTTTTAGCAAATATGTCCATAGCCGCTCCAACAGAACCAGGCTAGAAGAGCATTTAAGGTCAGATATTTGGTGGGATCTGGTAGTCTAGTGGCAACATCGTCTCACTTAAATTTTGCTTTCCCCTCAGCTGATGTTGGTTCGACTCTCGGTGGGGTCGGCAGCTATCTATTTAGCCAGCTGAAACGTTTAATTTGTTTATATTTTAGTTGTAATGTTTATTTTCTGCAAAATATTTATGTCTCTAAAAGTTCTTTGAATTTGGTTGTTCCTAAACAGCATTTTAGTTGAAACTCTGCTCACAAATGGACTCACACTGGCTAAATAAACAAATAAATAGAAAAACAAACACATTAGTCATTATATTTTAAACGGTATACCAATAAATGGTTAAAACATAGTACTGGCAAGTGTAGCTAAAAAAGAAGAAAAAAGTTTGTGCCGTTACCGGGAGGCGAACCTACGCAAAATTACATGCTAAGCTGAGTGCACAACCACTTCACCAATACATCTGATAAGAAGGTAGTGGCGTCACATGTAATTGTGTCATCCAGTGTGTTTTTGTAGATGGGATGTATGATTTTTCAGCGGTGTCTCAGTAGAAGTCATTTCAGAAATCATTTGTCAGAAAATTCACAGAATATCCAGATTTGAGAACCAAGACCAGACCCGCTTTGGAGGAGAGGAACAAATTGAAGCTGAGATGGGAGGAAAATGTGTGAATGAGGCCAAAAATGGCTTTGGCGTGTTTCTTATGAGGAAATGACAATATAACATAATAAAAAGTTCTAAAAGTTAGATTTTTAATTATATGGAACCTTTACAAAAACGGTTCAGTTAACCTCTCAACTCAGTCCTCAATCTTGCATTATAGATGATACTAGCTATAACACCTTCTTTGGTTCCAGAATGCTATTAAGTCTGACAACTGGAAGAAATTGGACTGACTCTTGATGGAATGGGCGGGGCTGACTCAGGAATGGGCGGGGCTGACTCTGGTGTAGCTCCACCTTCTGGTGCAGCTCCGCCTTTGTGGTTCTGCAGCGAGCACCACTTGCATTTTCTTAACTCACTGATGCGCCTGCAGCCTCTCCGAGTTCCTGCTTCTCTAAACATTAAAATAATTATTTCATTTTCTGTTCCTCACTTCTGATTACCTTCAATGGTGTCTGTTTGTTGCAACCACCAGGTACAAAAACTAACTTGTTTTTATTTGACTATTTTTCTGTCCTGTCTGTTTATTATCTTCCTGCATCTCCTCTCAATCCTAAAGAAAAACTGCTACCTGGGTTCATATATATTCACCTTATGAGTTACCTTTGAACTGCAGTTCTAAAAGATCTACCGACCGCAAAAACAGCGGAGTGCTTGCCGGCCGCACCAGTGAGGTGTGTCGCTGGAGGACTAAACTCCTCTCCACAGCAGCAAAACGCATCAGGCACAAATAAAAGACAGAAAACATAAAAGGAAATGAGCCGACATGAACGATCGCATGTTAAATTAGTTTTTGAGGTGGCAACACCTGATTTGATAATGTTACTGTGGCCGTGCTCAGGACGCAGATGTCTGTAGCACGTCAACGATCAGAGCTTTGCATGCGCAAGCTGGTTAAGGTTAGGATGGCGGTGAGGGGAAGGTTAAATTGCAAGAGGGTAAACGTCACAATTTGGTCAAATGTCCGTTTTACCCCGGGCGTCAGATACCGACTGTACTGTTGCCTACGCTACGTCCTCTGTTGTCCTTGCGAACAATTGCTTTTGCAACACCCCCCATGCAAACGGAGAAGTCTGAATGCAAAATGCTTCTGTCAATGCTTCTGCGTCTCTCCCTTGGGGAGCAGACGCAGAAGCATAAACAAGGCTCAACGTTCAACCTTATGCTCACACTATTGTTTTAGCCTGTTTTAGGGTTAGAGGGGGTGGATTAAATCATTATTGCCTGATTCCTGCATGTTTTCATACTTGAACATGGCAGATTTGATTAAAATGAGGGATTTGCATTTCCTGCAAAACCAAATAAGACTTAATAGATCATTCAGGACATAGAATCAGGTGTGTCTGAGCAGGAACATATTGAAAACATGTAGCCATGTGGCAGCCCTCCGTTAGCACTTCACAACTTTTTGTTTGTGCTGTGAGAGGCGTGGCTTTCCTTCCTGGAGGGGAGAGAGAGCAAGCACAGGAGCTACAGCCTTTCATATTTCAAAATCTCATCAGAAAATACTTGAAATGCGTGAAGCAGCTCGCAAAAATGCAGCCATGGCTGCAGATACTTGTTCATCGCTTTTGACTATTATTTCCTTTGTCATGTTTTTCAGGTTTCTCCTCTGGTAACTTGCTTTCAGCAACAGCTTGCTATGGCAAGAGTGTTGAGCTTCCATCTTATCCCTTCACAACTATTAAAGGTCCATTGTATTTTATCCCAAGCGATCGTAGCCTCGGAAGGATGGTGATGGATGAAGGAAAGGTGAGGAGTTTCTTATAGGTATGTGTTAGTCGCTCTTAGAACCAGCTCTTTGAAGGAGCCTGCTCCTTCTCGGAGACACAGACTGTACCTGCATATTGCTTTTTTGCCATAGTGTTTGAGTTGCTCTTCTCCTACCAATTATAAAGAAATTTAAAGTGCTGTATTTATTCCTGGACAAAGCACACTCACCCTCACCTCCACAGTCCAGTATGGTAGCACATATACAGTGGGATGCAAAAGTTTTGGCTGCCTTGATCTTCCTGATTTTCCTTTATAAATCGTTGGTTGTTATGATGAAAAAATTTAGTTAAATAGGTCATATTGGAGACACACACAGTGATGTTTGAGAAGTGAAATGAAGTTTATAGGATTTACAGAAAGTGTGCAACAACTGTTTGAACAAAATTAGGCAGGTGAAAAGCAGAGGTGTTGTCCCAGCCACATTCCCAGAGGCAGGTGAATGGGCTTCAAGTTGCTATTCATTTTTTCCACCTCTAGTTGGTGCCTTCTGAGGCCTAGTCCACACGTAGCCGGGTTTTTTTTTAAACGAATATCCGCCCCTCCAAAAACTTGCATCCACACCACCTCGTTCTAAAAAAACTCTGTCCACACGTACCCGGATAAATACGTTGTTAAGGACAAGCCAGACCTGTAGGCGGCAGTACTTCCCCCGTTGTTAACCTCATCCTTCGTCTGTGGTCTTCCGCAAGGAGCAGTAATTCCGCTTGCAAAAACAAACAAGCAAAAAGCGCTTGGACAATTGATAAAGTGAGCGCAGCTCTGAAGGCATCCATGCTGTCGGCTAGTGTAAACACAGGTCGCACACATGATGTCAGCATTTTTTTTGTCGCGGAAAGTGACGTTGCGGACCTTAAAACTCCGGTTTTGTCTGTCCACACGCAGACACCCAAAACAGAGAAAACGCAGATCTTCACTTTGGCCGGAGTCTTTAAAAAGATCCGTTTTCGTGTGAATAAACTCCGTTTTCGTGTGGATGACAGACCAAAACGTAGAAAAATATCTACGTTTTGGCAGATCCCCGCCTACGTGTGGACAGGGCCTGAGAAAAAAAAAACTTTGTATTTCTGCTTTAAAGGCACACTTGTCAGTTTTCAATTCAATTCAAGTTTATTTATATAGCGCCAAATCTCGACAAGAGTCGTCTCAAGGCGCTTCACACAGTAAACATTCCAGTACAGGTCAGTTCATTAAGCCAGTCAGAAAAATTTTTCCTATCTAAGGAACCCAGAAAATTGCATCAAGTCACTGACTGGTGTCAGAGTCTTTACAGCAATCCTCATACTGTCACGAACTCCTCCAGCTGACTGCATTCCATTCATTCCTGCCACTAACGTGGCGACTGACGTCATCACGCCGACACTACTTAAGGAAGTGCCGGCGTTTCATTCATTGCTCAGTCATCGTTCTCACCAGACTTTGCATCGAGTCTCCAGGCTTACCAGCCCTCTAAACCCTCAAGCTACACCTACAGGAAATAACCACGCCGGTTATCTCCGTCTCTCCGCGTCTGGGCAACAGAACTCTCAGTCACGCTTCAGATCTGCCAACGAACCTGACAGGATGACTGAGCCCAAAGTTGACCCAGCGGAGTTCGCGCGTCTGCGTGCTGAAGTGGCTCAACAGCGCGCAACCTTGGATCAGCATACGGCAGAAATGAACCAGCTCCGTGCCATAGCTGATCGCCAAGCAACTAAGATCGAGTCACTCACCGAGCTAGTACTCCAGCTGACCACCGCTCTGCAACGTCAGACCGCAGCTGTTCCTGACAGGATGGAACCACGCCTCAGCCTTCCAGAGAAGTGGGACGGAACCAGGGGATCCCCGGAGGGCATGTTGGCGACCCTGGCCATGACTTTCGAGTGCCAACCGGCACGTTACCCCACATCCTGCTCTCGTGTCGCCCTGCTGACCTCACTGCTGACAGGTCGAGCCGGTGAATGGGCGGCGGCACTTTACAATCAGAAATCTCCTGCCTGCAATGACTATGAGACTTTTGTAAAGCAGATGAAAAAGACTTTTGTGCACCCCAGCAGCAAAGTCTCGGACGAGACGCGGCTGCTTCAGCTTCGCCAGGGCTCCCAGACGGCGGCTCAGTACACCTCTCGCTTCCGGACGACAGCAGCTCGGTTGAGGTGGGATGACGCCGCCCTAAAGGCCGTTTACCTGGAGGGACTGTCACCGAGAATCCGGGAGGGCATGATCGGGCACGAGGTCCCAACCTCCCTGGACCTGGCAGTGGATCTGGCTCTCCAACTGGACCGCTGCATCCTGAACCGGCCGAGCACCATGTCAGCCCCCGTACACACCAGGACGTCACCCCGCCGGCCGGCTCACCAACTGACGGAGGAGCCGATGCAGCTGGGACATCTTCCCCCTGAGGAACGGGCACGGCGCTACCAGGAGGGAAGATGCGCTTACTGTGGGGATTTGGGTCACCACCGTGGCACGTGCCCAAAACGACCGGGAAAAGGTCCCTCCGGGTCGGAGTAGGAGCTGTCCCGCCCGGAGTCTCCACCTTTCCGGCTCCACACCGAACCACTCTCCCGGTCTCCCTCCACCTGGACCAAGGCCCGACCAGACTGGAGGCACTTTTAGACACTGGGGCTGCGGAGTGTTTTATCGATCACGGACTGGTTACTCGGCTCAAGATACCCCTCACCGCCCTCGACCGACCCATTCCCGTGACCTCTGTGGACGGCCGGCCCATCATGCCGTACCCTCTCACCCACCGAACTCAGGGTCTCCACATGACTATTGACCAACACCGGGAGACCCTCCACTTCCTGGTCATCCAGGCTCCGGCTACGCCTACATTCCTGGTTCTGCCGCCATGAGCCTCACATCTCCTGGTCCACCAGTAAAGTCCTGGCCTGGGGCACGGGTTGCCATAACCACCGGGACTCCCCTGCACCTCGGACCAGAGCAGCCACTCCCACAGACGTAGACCTGATGCTCATCCCTCCTCAATACCACGACCTCGCTCAGGTCTTCGCTAAAGAACCCACTACCAGGTTACCTCCTCACCGACCCTACGACCTGGAGATCAGGCTCCAGCACCGGCACCCCCCCCCCCCCTCGCGGTCACCTGTTCTCCCTCTCTCCGGCGGAAACCCGGGCTATGGACAATTATATAACTGATGCCCTGCAGAAGGGATTCATCCGTCCCTCAACATCCCCCGGGGCCGCAGGGTTTTTCTTTGTTAAGAAGAAGGAGGGTGATCTCCGGCCCTGCATAGACTATCGAGGGTTAAATAAAATAACGATCAGGGACCGTCACCCTCTCCCTCTCATGGGCACCGCTCTGGACGCCATCACACAAGCCGCAGTGTTCACTAAACTGGATCTGCGCAGCGCCTATAACCTCATCCGTATTAAGGAAGGTGAGGAGTGGAAGACCGCTTTTATCACGCCCACTGGCCACTATGAATATTTGGTGATGCCTTTTGGACTCTGCAACAGCCCCGCCGTCTTCCAGCGGTTCATTACAGATGTGCTGAGAGACATGTTGGGCCGCTGGGTCTTTGTCTATCTAGATGACATCCTCATCTACTCCCGCACGGCCGAAGAGCACATCCGTCATGTTCGAGCGGTTCTGTCCCGCCTCCTGGACCATGGACTTTACTGCAAACTGAAGAAGTGTGCGTTTCACCAGGAGTCCACCTCCTTCCTGGGTTTTACCATCTCCTCCCAGGGCCTGAAGATGGACCCCCCAGAAGGTTCAGGCCGTAGCTCAGTGGCCTCTACCCACGACCCTGAAGCAGCTGCAAAGCTTCCTGGGTTTCTCGAACTTTTACCGGAGGTTTATACGCAACTTCAGCTCCCTCGCAGCACCACTGACCTCACTCACCAAAACCACCAATCAGCCTCGCCCTTTTCGCCTTACTCCAGAGGCTGTCCGTGCTTTCCATGAGCTGGTCGGACGTTTCACTAAGGAACCCATCCTCCTCCACCCGGACCAGACCCGGCCCTTCGTCGTGGAGGTGGACGCCTCAGATGTGGGAGCGGGGGCCGTTCTCTCGCAACGGGGTCCAGACTCTAAGCTCCACCCATGTGCCTACTTCTCCCGGAAGTTTTCCCCCACACAGCAGAACTACGGGGTCGGCGACAGAGAGCTGCTGGCAAAAAAATGGGCGCTGGAGGAATGGAGGCAGTGGCTCCTGGGGACCACCGATCCCTTTCTGATCTGGACCGACCACCAGAATCTCATTCATCTACAGACTGCCCGCCAGCTCAACCCACGTCAGGCTCGGTGGGCCCTCTTTTTCGAGCCGTACCACTTCCATATCGCCTACCGGCCCGGCTCCAAGAACCTCAAGGCGGACGCCCTCTCTCGGCGTTTCGCACCAGATGCCGCCCCCCCGGAGCCTCGGACCATTCTGCCGACTCAACGCTTCCTGGCCTCCCTCCAATGGCCGTTGGAGCAGTCCATACAGGCGGCACTTCCTGGCGATCCAGCGCCGCCGGAGACCCCACCGAACCGTCTCTACGTTCCCGCCTCCTGCCGGCAAGAGGCGCTCACGTGGGGGCATTGTTCGCGGCTCGCGGGACATCAAGGACAAGCCCGTACCCTCCAGTTCCTCAGTCGGGCTCTCTGGTGGCCGTCCATGAGGAAGGACGTCTGCGAGTTTACAGCTGCATGTGATGTGTGTGCTCGCTCCAAGTCCTCCAACCGACCCGGCGCTGGAGAGTTGCAGCCTCTCCCTGTGCCCAAACGGCCGTGGTCACACATCGGGCTGGACTTTGTCATGGGACTGCCGGCGGTCGACCACCTGGACACTATAATGACTATCACGGACCGTTTCTCCAAGGCCGTGCACTTAGTGGCCCTGGCCGGCCTCCCCACTGCCAAAAGAACGGCCGAACTGCTCCTGGAACAGGTGGTGCGGCTCCATGGTTTCCCTCAGGACGTGGTTTCCGACCGAGGACCCCAGTTCGTCTCACGCTTCTGGAAGGCGTTCTGTCGCCTGGTCGGTGCTTCCACCAGTCTGTCCTCTGGATACCACCCGCAGACAAACGGTCAGACAGAGAGAGCTAACCAGCAGCTTGGACGCTACCTGCGCTGCTTCGCTTCGTCCCAGCCGACCACCTGGCCCCGCTTCCTCCTGTGGGCGGAGCTGTCACACAACCTCCAGACCTCCTCTGCCACGAGTCTGTCTCCCTTTGAGACCTGTTACGGTTATCAGCCTCCTCTGTTTGATCATCAGGTGCCCGAGGTGGAGGTCCCTGCTGCCCAGACGCTGGTCCGCCGCTGTCGGCTCGCCTGGATCCGGGCCCGTGCGGCCATCACCCGGGCCAACACGGAGTATGCCCATCAGCATCGCCGCCGCCACCGGCCTGGCCCCGTCTTCCGGTCTGGCGACCAGGTGTGGCTCTCCTCCGCTAACCTGAGGATGCCGGCTGGCTCCCGGAAGCTCACTCCTCGCTTCCTGGGTCCGTTCCCTGTCCTCAAGGTCATCAATCCAGTCACCTGCCGTCTACGCCTCCCGGCTACTCTCCGGATCCACCCGGTCTTTCACGTCTCCCAGCTTTAAGCCGGTGATCTCCTCTCCTCTCCACCCTCCACCGGTCCGGGTGCCTCCGCCCCGCGGTGTTGAGGCGGATCGCACCTACACGGTCCGCAGGATACTGGACGCCCGCCGCCGGGGACGAGGTTGGCAGTACCTCGTGGACTGGGAGGGGTACGGGCCTGAGGAACGCTCTTGGGAGCCCACGAGCTCGTTTGTCGATCCTGCCCTGCTAACAGACTTCTGGGCCCGCCGTCCTGGGACTTCGGGTGCCGTCCCTAGAGGGGGGGGGGGGTCCTGTCACGAACTCCTCCAGCTGACTGCATTCCATTCATTCCTGCCACTAACGTGGCGACTGACGTCATCACGCCGACACTACTTAAGGAAGTGCCGGCGTTTCATTCATTGCTCAGTCATCGTTCTCACCAGACTTTGCATCGAGTCTCCAGGCTTACCAGCCCTCTAAACCCTCAAGCTACACCTACAGGAAATAACCACGCCGGTTATCTCTGTCTCTCCGCGTCTGGGCAACAGAACTCTCAGTCACGCTTCAGATCTGCCAACGAACCTGACACATACTAAGCAAGCATTTAGCGACAGTGGAGAGAAAAATTCTCTTTTAACTGGAAGAAACCTCCAGAGGATCCTGACTCAGTATAAGCAGCCATCCTCCACGACTCACTGGGGATGGAGAAGAACAGAGCAGACACACGCATACACCAACACCAGCCCACACACACACACACACACACACACACACACACACACACACGAGCAGTGGTCCTCAATAGGCCCCCTCTTTGTGCCCCCCCCCCCCCCACACACACACACACACACACACTGGTGAACAGGGGGTGTGCTGTCACAAAAGCTGTTTTTATAGGACCATAGCATTTGCAAAACGGGATTTGCCGCGGCACCCTAGGGAGGATTTTGGCATTTATAATAGCAAAGCTGAAGCTAGAATAAGCCGCCATCAGGCACCTCTCAAACCAAGACGGGATAAAGGGAGATCACTGCCCCCCCCCCCCCCCCCCCCCCACACACACACACACACATGTGACGTAAAGGGTCCCACATTCAGCGTCAGACGGAAGACACGTCAGGCTGATGGAATTTCTTTTTCAGGACCTATAGCTTAGATGTTACCTGCTTTTTGTCCCGCTTGACGCCCCGCTCAGCCAGTGTTTTCACCACTCTGTCGAACAGCTAGCTGGCTGTCTCTCACCGTCCCCGTAAAAAGGCGACTAATGTTTTCATCCGCTCGCACGGCCAAAAGCTCCATGGTCTCCGCGTCCGTCCAGTTGTAGGTGGTTGAAAGATACTAGTGAGAGGCCATGTTTATCTGTGTTTATATCCCTTCCGGCCGGCACTCGGCGCGCAGTATACGTCACTAATGCGACCACCCACTTTTGCGGGGGTGCCTCCCACAGTTGCTCCAAAGGGATTAGCGGGGCTGACACGTGTTTAGTCATCAGAGGCGAGGGACTCATGCGGCAATATTACTACCAAGCGAGGCGGAATGAATGCCGCAAAGTTCGCTCAACGCCATGCCGGCATGGCGCATTTATAGACATACCATTGCGGTAATATTACGCCGATTTGCCGGCATGGTGTGTCTTATAAAAGCACCTATAGAAGGCTGGTGTAATGAATCGCCAGCAGCGTTAAGCACAGGATGTGATCACTACCACCTAACAAACATATTTAGATTCCTCTCTGTAGAAGCCTTAGAAGCCTCCCATTTGGCATACCCCAAGGATCTATTTTAGGGCCTACACTTTTCTCCCTATATATGCTGCCGCTTGGAAATGTCATTAAAAGACATAGCCTGTCTTTCCATTGTTATGCTGATGACGTTCAAATTTATCTTCCAGTAAAGTCCGGACATTGTGCTACAACAACTTCTTTACTACACTGCATGTATGACATGGAGCTTTGGTTGTCAGAAAACTTCTTACACCTCAACAATGACCAAACTGAGTGTATTCTTTTTTTCTCGCCAAACATGCAAAATGTCACACTGTCAGATTATTATTATTATTACAGCTGAGACAGTCCCTTGTGTGTGTGTGTGTGTGTGTGTGTGTGGCCCGGAGGACATAGGACAGGAGAACGCGCAGCTAATTAATTAAATAATTCGGTTCTTTCTCTTCAGCACAGCCGACAAAAGTTTAAGATGGGTCAGTCCTCCTGCATGCTCAGATAATTCCCTTCCCTTGCTTGAAAAATTGTTCCAAAATGAAAGTTGAACCCACATTTTTTTTTACCTGTGAATTCATTGCCGTTCGGCGAGTCTCAAATAAAAATTTGGGCATCTTACTGTAAAAAAATATATCATTAATGTAAAAAAGAAACTCTAAAAAACCATGTTCACATCCAGAATTGAACCCGGGTCTTTGACACGAAAGCCAGACATCTTACTAGGCGAGCTAAACCACCAATGACGTCATTTTATATCTGTAACATTTATATTCTTGATGACAGCTGAAACAACGTTCAACGAACGGTTTGGATGGCAATGCCTGAGCGTGAACGCGCATGAAGCAGCCTGCTCGACCCGAGCATCTCTCTTTTTCTGTGATTTTACAGAAAAACAGGCAATCACAGTAAAAATGCCAGGGCTCACTCTACAGGACCAGGGCATTTCAGGAGAATGTATGAAGAAGGAATGTATTATTTCTATACATGTTTTGACTGTCAATCTTCCATAATGCACCTTTAAATGAAATTGAAGTTAAATGTGATGAAAACACACATTTATAAATAATTTGAACTGAAATGAAAAATGTAAAACCAGAATTATATTTCTACCTTATTCATTTAATCACTTTGTGTTTTTCATTTTCTCATAGAAGTTAAGTCTTGCTTCATCAGTGAATAAATGCAGGTAAAATGATGCTTTGCTGCATTTTATGTCGACAATAATGAACAAGGTTGGAGGTTTATTCTTTTTATCTGTTTCTGGTTGAGCGATGCTCTGATCAGCATGTCTGAGGTTATTAGAGCTCAGACTGGCTGTGCGCACCGGCCAACACGTTCACCAGCCGCATGGAGTTAGAGAAAGAAAAGCTGCACAAAGTTGAGCATTATTAATGAGAGAAACAGCTGTGGATAGATATGTGTTCAAACTAGCTCACTAGAGATGTCCAAGAGTTTGGAATTCTGTGTTCAATAAAATGTAGAGCATTTAAGGCAATTAGAGTTAACGAGCTATTAACGCAGATGCGACTTTACTCTCGCCAGATTATTTACTGAGGATGTCTTTCTTTTTAACATCACAGTCCTGAAACTCAAACTAGATCTGTATAACCGCCGTTACCCCAACTTCTTTACAAGTGCTCCTAAATCCACACACTGCGCCGCTGCAGCATCTAATCCAGAACTGACGTAGCTTGACAAAATTCATGCACAGTCGCGGTTAGACTAAATTGATAATTGATATGATGTCAACCATGTATTACCATGCATTACTTTATTTGAATATTCATTAAGCATAACGCATCCCAGCCCAATGTTTGTTTGTTTTTTAAATCCAGGGCACAGCGGGTGCTGTCATCATCTGGGTAAAGAAATATAATTTTTTTCCGGTTAGCCCCTGTACACGTACCCCTGGTTGGGACTCACTGGCTTAGGAGATAGCAAGAACCACATTGTTTTTTCATACGTTTATCTTTCCATACTGGTTGGTTTTAGCTTCTATTTACCAATACAGTTAGTGATGTTGTCCAAGTTGTATTTATGGTAAGCTAATTATCTTTGTCTATTTTCAGTTCACCAATTCTGAATTTGTTCTGTCAATTAACCAGTTTGTATTTTTCCATTTTCAGCCCAAGGACCCACGCATCACATATCTCCGTTCCAGGTTTCACCTTACAAATTTAACTAAAGAAGATGATGGGTATTTTTCCACCAGACAAGATGGATTGGGGTTTTCCAGGCTGTTCAGATTGGAAATATCAGGTCAGAAGTCTACACCATTAGGTTTCCTTTTACCTCATTAGAATACTTTTAGTCTTGTGCAGTGTGTGTTAACATAAATTCTACTTCCAAAGAAGTTGTAATTTACAGTCATGTAGAAAAAAGTCTTTGCCCCCTTCCTGATTTGTTATTTTTTGCACGTTGCCCCACTTAAATGTTTCAGATCATCAAATAAAACTAAACATTAGTCAAAGGCAACACAAGTAAACACAAAAAGCAGTTTTTAAGTGACGGTTTTAATTATTCAAGACCAAGTTCACTTGTTTTGTCAATTTATTTGCAGTTGTATCTAGCATAAATTAATGCCTAATATCGGAGGGAGAAAAAAAGCTCTGGGATTTCAGTTTCAAGAACTATTAGTGAGCCAGAAGAGTGGGGAGCATGTCACAACATGATTTGGAGTCTTATTTCCTACCACTGACTCTGTTTGCACTGCAATGTTGATGTTTTAACACAAGCCTGAAGTATTTCTGCCATTTTGTGGATTTGCTAATGCTAACAGTTAGCTTCTACTAGCCGAAGCGTGCACTGCTCTCTCCTGGAAGCTAAGTCAACAACAAAATGTCACCCGCTAGTTGTAGTCTTACTTCACTCACATTTCCTCTTTGACAATAGCACCTAAAGGACGCGTCGCCTGGTAGACCAAAGCCTCTTTTAGAAAACAATGCCGCCAATTTGCCACAACACTAAGCCGGCATCAGGGAGCCTAAGGTCGTTTATTAGTGGTCAGACTGTGGCAGTAATGTGGCACAATCATGTCCTTTTAACAAAAGATTACGCAGTGACGGTATAAATGGCGTCTCAGCATTGCTGCAGACTTCCATTTATCTTGGACAAAACTTGTTTTTTATTGCAACCAAAGCTGCGCTTGTTAAGTATAATTTAAAAAATAAATAATCAAAAAGATTTTTTGATGGGCACAACACTGGGTTTATGTTTACATCTACCAGCCACTAGAGAGCACTGTTGCAGTAAAAAGTTTGCTTGGGAAAGTGAAGCTGGGACTGTGTAAAATGGCGGACTCATTAAGTCAAACAGCTGATTCTGAGCCCAGAAGAGGTTCTAACGGCAAATGCAGTTGTAAAATAAATATACTAGTAGAAATGAGACCTTATCCTGTACGATTCGTCACTGGACATGGTGCTGGATGATCACTTCACATATCAGCAGTGAACATACACCCCGACGGCTGGAAAATGTGTTCTGTTGTTGCATTACCACATCCAAACACTAGATGTCACTATAGTGTCTGTGTTCCATATTCAACCTTTAACATATGCACCTGTTTACACAAACACATACACAGCAGACTCACTACTCAGTTGCATGAGCAAACAGAGTTACTGCAGTTGGCTGGAGGGTTTTCGCATCACCTTGTACACTAGTAGACGGAGAACATTTTTTCAAAGAGGTGAGAAACTCTGAGACGTATCATTTCATATTTGCTCGTGAGCGGCAGAGCCAGTTGAAGGCGCGGCTGAGACTCAGCTGGAGTCCAATGCTGTGCAGCCACATAATATGGTACAGGCAACGTTACTTGGGACATCTTACCGCATTTGCAGGTTCAGAGTGCCGGTCCAGTCTGTTGGACTTAGAAAAAAAAATGGAGCCGACATACCTGGCGCTGCAGTCTGATTCCATCGTGTTTTCTGCTTTAGATCATGAACACAGCTGATTTGTTTAATTTTGTTATGAATCGCTTCTGTAGACAATAATGAAGACTGGGGAGAGATTAAGGTGTTAAAAAGACAAACACACAGCGAGGAGATGCGTTTAGGTTTTGGTTCTACTAAATGAACACTAGGGGTGCTAAAAGCAAGCAAAACTGCCAAGTGTGCCTTTAGTCTGAAGAGGGAGGAATAAATACTGTTTTAGGCTGAATTTTTTAATTTTAAACAAGATGCACAAACATGTTAAAATAAGACTACACACAGTGCTATTAGACACTCATTTATACAATTTATCAGCAAAAAAAGGTGTTACTCGCCCTTTAATCAGTTACGAGTCAAGATGTGAGTCCGTGAATGTTAATTTTTAAAGTGACTTAAAATTATCAGGCTTTTCTAATCCGAACTCTACCTAATCTATTTTATGTTGGCGACTAATGCAGGAAATGGGGCAGAAGACTATTTTCAGGTTCAGCCTGCATGTAAAACAGCTCAGAGCTACTCCGTTAAAAAACCTCACTCCTTCTTTTCTTCTGGGGAAGGAGGTGGAGAGAAATCCTCCAGACAATGAAGTGTGAAACTATCTATCTGCATCTTCTCTTTGTCTAAGCGCTGAGTGTGTGTGTGTGTATGTGTGTGGGTGGTCTTTTTTGAGGACCTTAAACATTTTAAGTGTGACAAACAAAAATCAGGAATGGGGCAAATACTTCTTCACACCACTGAATGCTGAAGATTTGCTGTTATAGAATGTATAGACTAAAGGTGTGTGTAATGTTAGGCTCAACCTGTGTTCTTAATTTTCTATTTTAGATTGTGCTGAAAAGTTTTACCGGGGTTATATGGATACGCTGGTGTATAACATCCCTTCAGTAGCTCATTTCATGGAGTTCACTCCACAGCTAGCCAGTCGGCACAAGCCAATGATCCTGTGGAATCGCACGGCCTTTCAGAGCCATGATGAAAGAAGAGGAACAGTCAAGAGTAATACCTGGAAGATCTCCCAACTCACTCAGGCAGACAACGGCTACTACATCTTTAGGCAAAATGACAGCAAGCTGGAGTCAATAGTACATCTCACAGTAAAAGGTAAAAGCTGTGTGGGAGTTCTCATATAATTTGTACACAGATTTTATAATATTTTAATCTAATTTCTCCACCACAGAAAAAACCCTTGATTATGAACGGAACACAGGGCAAACTCTATTTATCCCGTATCCTACATCTGGTGGACCATGGACGGTCGTATTTAAGTCTGAGATGACAAATATACCTGAGAAAATGCTTAAAGATGGCCAACTGGTCTGGACAAATAACCGGTTCTCTGGGAGAATTAAAGCTCAGGATGATGGTTTGGAAATAGATTTTTTGGAAAGCAAAGATTCTGGCTCCTTTGAATTCAGAGACCTAAAAGGTAACTTGGCCTTGATTGTCGAGGTGGAAGTCAACCAAAGTGAAAGTGAGTAGATTTTTTTTATTATGTTACTAAAGTCACGCGTGACTCCAGCGTCTCCCCTAAAACCTCTGTGTTCTTGCAGGCCCCAATCATGCAGTAGTTGCATATGCCGCTATGAGTGTCGGGGCTCTCCTAGCAGGGATTTGCTGTTGCTGCTGTTGTAAAAAATGTTGCTGTAAAAAAGGTTCTGCGCCTCAGACAGAAGCAGCACCTGCTGTGACTTATCATGTAAGTAGTTCTTTAAGTGCACTCTAAAATCAAGAGCTCAGTTCTTTGCTCAGATTAATAATAAGTTATTTTTTAAATCTGATTGGTCACTCTGAGTTTAACATGCAGACTGAACATGAAAATAGTCTTCTATCCCTGTTTCCTGCAGTAGCTGCACAGATTTACTTCACACTGAAAGTCAGCATTTATGGAGCCACCCATCTTGACTCGTAACGGGGAAGGCTGTTGTTGGGTTAGCATCCAGGAGAGAGCAGAGCACGTTTCAGCTAGTAGAAGCTAATCGTTAGCATTAACAACTTGACAGAATAGCAGAACTCCTTCAGGCTTGTGTTATTTTAGAACACAGGTTTCAAACTCCGGTCCTCTCCTGCATGTTTTAGGTTTTTTTTCTGTTTCAACACACCTGATTTCAATCAGCAGGTGACTAACAGGCTTCTGGAGAGCTCGATGAGCTGCTGCACAGGTGAGTCAACTGTGTTGGAACAGGGAAACAACAACAAATTGCAGGATACTGGTCCTCGAGGACTGGAGTTTGACACCCCTGTTTTAGGAGGTCAAACGCTGCAAAGAAAACAGCGTCAGCGATAGAGTCACATTGCTGTTATCCAATGAGAGGCAAGATGTCCGCATATCAGGAAATAGGAACCTTAATATTGTCGTCTTCAGCTCAACTCTGCTGTGGATCACTGAAACAGGAGTGCCAGAGCTTTTTCCCACAGAGATCATCTATACTAGAGACCACTGCAAATTTATTGGGAAAATGAGTTAACTTGGTCTGTAAATATCATATTAAACAGGACAAGACACCCGGGACTGCGACTTCACCTCCTGTGTATTATCATGTAAGTATATTTTTTATCGGATCCTAATCTGAAGTCTTAAACTCTGTGCATAAATGTTTATTTAACCTTTTTGCTATTTTCACTTCCAGAATGTAAATCCACCAACAGGCCCAGTCTGTCCAGCTGCAACAAATCCTTCAGTTTTCCCTCATCAGCCAGTACGTCACACTGTGCCTATCAAAGCCGCAGCCATAGCTTTTGAGTCACTGGCGGGTTGATTACAGAAGTGCTTATTTTTAAAAATGACCAATGGGAATCATTGTATTGAGGTTTCACAGCTCCTTCAAATTATTTTTAAGTGAATTTGTTGCTACAGCATTTGAAAGAAGAAAAAAGCACCCAAAATAATCCAGCAACGCATCACATAAAAGTGTGGCTACTTTTATTTTTAAACATTTTTGAGAAAACATCCGTGAGTGACTCCTGCTCTTCTCGTATTTACCGCCCAGCTCAATGTGTTACGTTAATGCACATCATTGTAAAGTCTCTGAACACGCCATGTAGCAATGAGCGCTTCATCGACCTCAAAGCCCACAGGTGGATGTTGGGGTGGTGGAGAAAGAAAGGGAGCTTGTAGCAGTCAGTAAATACTTGGATATATGGGAGAGGCTTGGTCAGTTAGCCTAACAGATCAGATGAAATGACAACAAAGTTGATCATCGAGCTGTAGCCTAAGGTATCCTGGTGCCAAGAGCACATATGTCTGAACATGGTGCTCATTAAAGCTTCTTTCCAGAGTATTTCTCTTATCCGATGGCACCGTCTAGTGGCTGACAAGCGTATCACACAAAAGTCTGTCTGTTTTTTTAAGGTGGTGACTTCACGTTTCTGTTTATAAATATGCTTCTGTAGCCGACAAACAGAGCTAAAACTCGTTGTTTTACAAGTATTATTCTCATGTCATGTTGTGTTCTCATATATTTATATTTTAAAGACTTTCTTGTTCGTGAAAAGTTCATCAACTCTGCATCAGCCGAGGTATTCCTTAAATTTGAAGCGTCTAAGCGGCAGTCTAACGCTGTTAGTTAGTTCTGGTCGGCACTCAGTTTCCTGTTGCCCGGAGCTCTGCGGGGCAGGGGGTGTGCGTAAAAAAAAAAAAAAGACGTTTTGCTTACATCTGCTTACATTTGCTTATCACGGTACATGATCAGATAATAATTTTTACGGATTTCTGAGAAACCAGAAATATTTTCTGAAAGGTGAAAACTCCAGAAATCTACTTTAACAAACCACTCATCAATGCCCTATAGAGTCGATCGGTGGTTCTATGCTAATGTCCCTTGTGACATCACAATAAGGGACTTTTTGAAAAGTCTCGTAGAAGTATATGGTTCTTGACATTAAACACTAGCAGAAAACGGATTAAAGGTTTTTATTCACATTTTGAGTTATTATAGAGGCTGCAGAGGCTCACATGGCAGCACTAAAGACATGCAAAAAGTCAGTTTTACATAATATGTACCTTTAAAGACTTCATGGACTGGAGAGCACCAATAACTTTTTTTTCTTATTTCAGTAAAATGTTTACATTTTCCATCTCTGAGCCTTCTGCATTTTTTCTACATTATAGCCATACCAGCCTGTAACCATCTACCCTACTCAGCCTGGCATCAGCGTGTACCCACCTCCGTCTGGACTGAACCCACCTCAGCCTGGCATCAGCGTGTATCCACCTCAGCCTAGCATCAGCTTGCACCCACCTCCGTCTGGACTGAACCCACCTCAGCCTGGCATCGACATTCACCCCCATCAGCCTGGTACCAATGTGAACCCTTTACAACCTGAGGTAAACATGTAAATGCTGCTCTGATAGACATATAAAACATAGGGAACATACATATACCGTAAATCCTCTAAGCCTGTATTTAATGAACTGCCGGGTATCATATTTTGGCCGGTGTCGGCAGAGGTAAATAATGGCCGTTTTTTTATTGTGGCCGGGTGGAATGTGGTAACAAGCAAGTACGGGGGGCGGTTGTGTCATCCGTCTCACTTTTGATTTGCCAGTGACAGACCGCGAGGGTAACTTTAACCGTGCGGAGACGAAGAGGAGGCGAAAATTTGATGTCAAGTTCAAAGAGAACGTGCTGATTATGCTGCAGAACACTCTGGGGAGCAGTAGCAGGGGTTGTATGAACTAGTCACTATTCGACTTCACCGCTCTATAGTGACTTTTTATGCCTGTCATCGACTAGTCGCTGTCACGTGATAATGACCGGCAAGATGCAGCCCTCAGAAAAGACAGCAGCCTGCTGTCAGCAGGTGACGAGCTCCTGCGCGTCGGGAGGCAATGCACTGTGCCAGAGCGTTGGTACTGACACCCGCCGTAAAACGGACATTTAACCAAATTGTGACGTTTACCCTCTTGCAATTTAACCTTCCCCTCACCCCCATCCTAACCTTAACCAGCTTGCGCATGCAAAGCTCTGATTGTTGACGCGCTCCAGACATCTGCGTCCTGAGCACGGCCACAGTAACATTATCAAATCAGGTGTGGCCACCTCAAAAACCAATTTAACACGCGATTGTTCATGTCGGCTCATTTCCTTTTATGTTTTCTGTCTTTTATTTGTGCCTGATGCGTTTCGCTGCTGTGGATCGGGGCACATCACCTGTTTTGTCCTGGGTGACGCACCTAACTGATGTGGCCAGCGAGCACTCCGCTGTTTTTGCGGTCGGTAGATCTTTTAGAACTGCAGCTCAAAGGTAACTCATGAGGTGAATATATGTGAACCCAGGTAGCAGTTTTTCTTTAGGATTGAGAGGAGATGCAGGAAGATAATAAACAGGCAGGACAGAAAAATAGTCAAATAAAAACAAGTTAGTTTTTGTACCTGGTGGTTGCAACAAACAGACACCATTGAAGGTAATCAGAAGTGAGGAACTGAAAATGAAATAATTATTTTAATGTTTAGAGCAGCAGGAACTCAGAGAGACTGCAGGCGCATCAGTGAGTTTGCGGCCGCTGCGCAGGGGGAGGGGGGAGAGGGCTGAAGCAGAAACTACCGTTGTTAAAAGAAATGTGTTTAACTTTGAAAATGTGGGCGCAATTTTAATTGTCAAAAACTCCAGCGAACCATTAGTTCATTTTTGCTCAAATAGAAATTGAGGCCTGCCTCTAATTCTGGCCCTCCTTCCAATAAAGGCCTGGAGCTTGATGAGCTTGAGTAAAATACAGGCCCGGGCCTGTATTAGAGGATTTACGGTATGACAAATATTTAGTTATTTGGTCTCATTGATATCCAAACACTGATTTTTATTTTCTGTTTTCAGGTTTCTCTTCCAACAGATCAGGGATCTGCAGCGGTTCCTACGTTCAACTTGGAGTTTCTCTCCTCAGATCCTGATACCAGATTTGAGCTGAAAGGACCAAATGTTCCCTCTGCTCCTCCTCTCAGTTCTGAAACTCCGTCTAGTTATGTTTACAATTCAGATAAACTCAACTTTCTTTAAAAGTCTTAGTGCAAAATCGCCAATCTTCAGGTGAAGTTATCTGAATTTAGCACTAAAAATCAGGAAAATTGTGTTTGGCTTATTATTCCCTTGTTGTATTATGTCACTGAGTAATAATTCCTATATTGTTGGAAAGCTCACTTACTGTGTCTGAAATGGTCAGTCCCTTGTGAAGGAAATGGATTTGTGGGTTTAGCAGCAGAGTTGAGTATTTAGGTTGTACCCCTGAAAAACTTGCTAAATCCTTTCTGCCAATCAGCTTATTCTGTTGTTAATGTTGTTAAATGGTGTCATTTCTTTTGAGTTTTATTGTGAAATGTTAAATCACAACATTGGGAAATTGCTGTGGTACTTGGTGCAAAAAGAAAGATAAAAATAAGGTACAAGCAAATGTAGGACGTAAGAATCATGATAATATAAAGTGACACTGATTAGAGACATTGCTACTATTTACAAAACATTTATTGGATTAGACGACTGAAGCCTATAAAACAAGAAATGATGGCAATGAGTCCAGATTCTGTCAACACCAGTTGGATGTGAGGATTGAATGTTGGTATAGGGCACCAGTTTTAGCCTCCGTGAAGATAGTTTATGAGATCCTACAACCAGCAGCAAACCCACACTCCCAACATGATCCAACCCTGTCCTGCAACATGCTCACCCCAACGGAGCAAGCTTCATCCACTCATACTCTACTCTGCTGCGCAATGCAAACATTCCTTTTCTGTACAACTGTGGCACCATCTCAAAGGACGTGAACAGGCGTTCCAGGACTGTAACATTTGTTAAGAATTAATACAACAAAGTAATAATGGACCAAATACTAATCTCTTCACTATATTTCTGTGCAGAACTTGTCTAGTATTGTGTTTGTAGACTGGATGTAACTACGGGTATCAGTGTAAAAGTTACTGAATATACTCATTATAGAAACCAAAGATATCAATTGTACTGTGTTGAAAATGTTAGTTATACTAAAAGTTATTTTATTTATATCCTTGAAAGGCTTGCATGCATTTTTACAAGAGTTACCAACAATAGTTTTTAAGTTCATTGTATATATCATTAGTTTTAGGATCCATGGTGTACTAGCAGATTCAGTGCCATCCATTCTAAGCTGGAAAAGTACCATTTTAGCCTGCAAGTAATCCCAGTTTATAGAGTACTGGGTAAATCACTTCTGATTATCAGTTTAAACCAAAGCTTGACAGTTGAGTGTAAATATCTGAGTGAGTTAACCACTTTTTGTTGAATTTTTAATGGGGAGACCCTTTAGAGTCTGCAGTTTTATTTTCTATACTGGTCTCTACACCTGAGACCCATAACACAGTGAATGATTGGTGAAACACTGATGAAGCATATCATGGATGCAGCTGTTGTTGTCTTTTGGTAGAGTCGTTCTTCTTTACTAAAGCTTCTTTACATATTTACTGACTATAATAAGCTATGTGACATAAATACAGACATAAGTACAGGAACTAAACTGGACTCAAAGCCTCATTTTCTCATATTTAAACTGTCCAATTAGAGTCCAGTCATGTGATTAATATTATGCAGAACTTCATATTGCTTTTATATTTTATTGTAAAACACCCAGCATTTTTTTATTATGTGATGGGTATGAAATAAAAGTTTATTTACTTGTTCCTAACACAATTGTACACAAGTTTGTTTTCTTTATGCATATTTTTTATTTTTCATTTAACTTTATATGTTTATATAACATTTAATAACTCCGTTAACAAACAGCACTTCTGTAGCTTGAACAATCTAGTAATAAATAACATAAATTCTTCACTTTTGGGCTTTAGTTTGATGTTATCGTGATCAAGAAACTGAATTGAATCTGAACAAGAAGCAGAGAAAGGAATATTTTCTGAAGATGTTTCAACACCTGAAACTGCAGCAGTCCATGCAGTGCGCTCCTACACCACAAGTTCGTGGTGTAGGAGCGCACAGTTCAACTTCTCAATAGGAAGTGTAACCGGATTACAGGATACAATAAGATAATTAAAAGAAAAAATAAACAAATGGGCCAATAATTAGGTTCGGGGAGAATTGGAGGTTGTTTAAGAATGACTGGAGTCACGGGTATAGCATGAAACGGTTTATATACTAAATTTTAATAATAATGGGAAATATAACACATAAAGATAACACACAAAAACAGATGAAAACAATCGACAATAGTAAAATGCTCGGTATGAGATTTGATCATATGAGTCACAAGTCAGCCGGCGTCAAGTCAAATCCCCACGCTTGGGGTGAAAGTCAGAGTCCGGTGGTGCGATTTTTTCCTACCGCACCGTTGAGATTGTTCACAGAAGAGAGCAGTCTGCTCTTCAGTTACTTGAGATGTCCGGGTTCGTTCAGTGGTTAAGGCTCGCCATCTCCCTCGTCAGGAAGAAATCCAGTTCTCGTTCCAAGTGAGTGATCATAGGAGTCGGGATCAAACCCAAGGAAAAAAAAAACCCAGCCTGTAAACAACAGGACTGTTAGCAAGTTGGCATCGACCCTTCTCGTCACATCACAGCATAAAGTCTTACAGACTTAAACAAATGCTTCACTCTATTGGCATAGCCAATCATGTTTGGGTTCACAGTTCAACTAACATAACATCAATTTGATTGTCTATTAAAATAATTCTCAGTAGCTCTGGAAATATAATTACATATGACAACAATTGTTCAGCTCAATAGGCTCAGTTAGATTCTATTACTCTACACTATTCGACAAGAAATACATTCATGACAACAAGGATACATTTAGTTGTGTTTCTATACAGCATTGTGACACCTTGTATATCTGTAACACAATAAATAAATAAATAAATAAACAAACAAATAAATAAATAAATAAATAAAAATTTCTATAACAAAATTAAACAAAATATAAATTCTGGTCCTTTGGTCCACCTTTGTAAAATAATTCCTCCCTAATCAGTTAGCTTTTATTTATTTTTATTTATCTATTTTTTTTATTATTAAATGTTTGGTTAAGGGACGCATTGCTAATTCTATGGCGTTAGCTATAACGCCCCTGAGGACCTTGTACATCTAGGCCGTACCACCGTTAACTGGCGGTTTGAGCCGTTAACTCCTGGGAATCCCATATGCCCTACCGCCGTTAACTGGCGGTTTGAGCCGTTAACTCCTATATGCCCTACCACCGTTAACTGGTAGTTTGAGATGTTAACTCCTGGGATCTAACGTCTAGCAGCCCACTGCTGTCACCTCGGTTGCTGTAATTAGCTTTTTGAATTTAATAATTTACTGAATTTAATCTCATTCACTCACCAACGCGCTCCAACGGTTCCCTCCTACAGAGGATTGGTTCACTCTGTCGTCTCCACACAAATCTATAAGAATGGAATTAATTTGATAAGCTATTTAAGTTTCCTTTTTTTTTTTAAGTTGCATCGTTAGCTTTTTCTCTTCTTTTTTCTTTACTCACCGCGTTGGTTCCAAGTTCCTAGCTCTTATTAGAAGGAGTCAAGTCCGCCTCTCCCTCTATCTACGCGGCACCCAAATCAGGGTTCTTCACGGCCTCGACCGTTGTTTTTTTTTTTCTCTCTCTCTCTCTCTCTAACCGCTCAGTCTTTGCTTTCTGTATCTGCGTGCTGCACAGCCGTTTGTCTCTCCTCTCGCTCAGCTGCGTCGCACGGTTTTATTTCGCGGAGGCGGGACTTATTTCTCTCAGCCAATGAAATTTCAGATTCCCACCTGGACCAATAGTATACAGCTTTCCTCTTCTGTTTCTGTTAGTGATGTTCAAGATTCTTGTTTTAACCGATGTTTAATATTAAACTCGTTATTTTAGTTATTCACCCTTCCAATAATTCATTATGAAATTATCTATTAGTTAATTAGATATCTATTAATTAGTATTGTTAATTTCCTTAATTTATATTTTATATTTTATCTAAATTGAGGATGGATCATATTAGTAAGCCAATCAGTTAATACCTCATTAAGGTTCTAGCTTCTGGGTTACATCCTCCCCCATTAAATATCATGCACGTCCCTGTGCATTGTTTCTACGGGGTACACAACTTCTTGAGTAAGAGAGTCAATAAAAGCTTTATTAAGTCCTTGGAAAAGGGACCTAACTACGGTCACTAGTGGATTGCCCAATTGAGAGTAAGTTAGTCTTTGAGGAGGCTGACTACTTCGTTCAGATCTCCTGACATACATCTCTGGTTGCACAGTATCATGCTCATCCGTTTCGGTTTGATTCTCAACTGAGACAGGACGAAGTGAGCTCTCTGTTTCCGACAGAGCTGATGAGCTATTCTCTAAGACTTTGGTCTTTTCAGATGTATGTGTCTGATCGTGTATGATGGGTTCAAAACTTACATCACGTTGCTGCGACTTTAGGACACCATCCAATTGAGGTAGGTTTGTGTTAGTTTCATCCCCCGTTTCTACGTCAGGTAAGTATACTTCGTTTTTTTTTTCGTTTTTTCAGGTAAGTATGTTGCTGCTTCTTTCACTCTTTCAGGTAAGAATGTCGCAGTTTCACTCATTCTGTCAGGTAAGAATGTTTCGGTGTTGATGCCTTTGTCAAGTAAGGACAATTCAGCATTTTCATTACCAGCTAAGGTTGGTTCCTTGCGATCCCCTGTGTGTAAGGATAGTGTGTTTTGTTGTTGAATATTATTTACCGGTCCTGAATCTGCTATGAGTTCCCTATTTGGCAAGGTGACCGCTATTTGATAGGATGGTCGGTTTAGCACTTGTGGAAGATCAGAGTGATAAAACTCATCTACCTCTTCGTCAAGTGGCTCATCTGGGTCAGGTTCTAAGGCTGAACTCTGTCTTGTATGAGGTCTGCTAGGTTTCGTAACGCGTTCTGTTTCATTTTCTAATGAAGAGAGAAAACCACAAGGCAGTAAAAGATCTCTGTGGAGTGTTCTGTTGGGTCCTTCTCCGTTCTCTGGTTTTACAGTGTATACTGGCAAGTTTTCCATCTGTTTGAGAACTATATACACTGTTTGCTCCCATTTGTCTGCTAATTTATGCTTTTCTCTTAAGCGAAGATTTCGGACTAAAACACGATCTCCCACACCTAGTGTGGACTCACGAATGTTTCTGTCGAACCGTTCTTTGTTCTTCCTCGCTGTTTTTTGAGAGTTTTTTATGACAATGTCATAACTCTGTTCCAGATGACTCTTCAGTTCTTTAACATACTGAGAATGAGTTATAGAGGGCTTGTTCAAATGCGGTAACCCAAAGGCAATATCTATAGGCAACCGAGGCTGCCTACCGAACATTAGCTCGTAGGGAGAGTATCCCGTCACGTCATTTTTTGTACAATTGTACGAGTGAGTAAGTGGTTTTACAAAATCGCGCCAGTGATGTTTCTCAGTGGCTTGTAAAGTTCCCAACATGCTGAGTAATGTACGATTGTACCGTTCAACGGGGTTGCCACGAGGGTGATAAGGGCTCGTTCTGACTTTACGGATACCAAGTAAAGAACAAAGTTCCTTGATTGTACGTGATTCGAAATCCCGTCCCTGATCACTATGAAGACGCTCAGGAAACCCGTAGTGGACTAAAAAATGTTCCCACAGGTTCTTCGCGACGGTGGTGGCTTTCTGATCTTTGGTTGGGATGGACACTGCATACTTTGTAAAATGGTCTGTAATCACTAAGACATCTTTAGTGTTCTTACTGTCTGGTTCTATGGAGAGAAAATCCATGCAAACTAACTCCATAGGTCTGGTGGTGGTAATACTCACCATTGGAGCAGCTTTGTCAGGGAGGGCCTTCCGACGGATACATCTTTCGCAAGTTTTAACTTTGATTTCGATATCACTAGCCATTCTTGGCCAGTAAAAACGGGACCGAATGAGATCTGTCGTACGTTCAACCCCAAGATGCCCCATATCATCATGTAGGCTTTGCATGACTGTTGAACGTAATGAATCAGGCAAGACTAACTGCAATGATGTCTCTGGTCCTAATTGGCGTCTCCGGTACAGTAAATCATTTTGAAACTCAAACCGTTTCCACTCTCTCAAAAGGTTAAGAACCACCGGGGGTTCTGCAATAGTATCAGTTGGCGGTTTATTGTCAGTCATAAGCAGCTGAATGACTCGGCCAATGGTTGGATCTTTCCTCTGCAAGGAGACAAGGTCAGCATGGTTATACTTGGGCACAGCAAAGAAACTGTCACTATTGTCTTCCAACTGGAATAGGTCTGGAATGGCCGCTGCAGACATGGCAAGTGACTGAACTAAACCACAAGGAGAATCAGTCTCATCCAAGACCATGTGCTTTTGGCATGTTGCCTTCACTGCTTCGGCTTGAAGTTGAAGCTCGACTTCTTTGACAGAGGATAAAAGATGAGATCGGAACTCATCTAGTCGTTGGCATTCCTCAGTGAATTTTGAGTTGTCTTCAGGTTTATCATGCAGCCTCCTAGACAGGCCATCCGCGTCAACGTTCTGTGTACCTGCACGGTATCTGATGTCAAAATTATAGGTGGACAACGCAGCTAGCCAACGATAGCTCGTTGCATCGAGTTTTGCCGTTGTTAAGAGGTAAGTTAACGGATTATTATCAGTAATGACAGTGAATGTGTTCCCATACAAATAGTCATGAAACTTATCTGTTATGGCCCACTTTAAGGCTAGAAACTCCAACTTGTGCGCA